ACTGCGGCCTAAAACGTCCACCGCCAGCCGGAATCCCACACCCGCGACCCAAATCACCAGTCCAGTGACCACAGACAGCAGCCACGACTCACTGCCGCGATCCACGCCTCACGTCCACTACAAACTGCCTTCTCATCAGCGCCCGCCCCAAACGGCCGCGGGGCCGTCCGGCCAGTGCGTCCACTCCGCTACTCTCTCCCCACTCCCCCGCTCTCTCCAGGCGTGTGAATCCAGCGCACGGTGCGCTCACCTAGATCCAGCGAGCTGGACGCAGCACATGTCGCCGCGACAGGTGCTCGTCGCGAAACTGGGCCTGGCGCGGCGCCAGCCCCGGTAGTCTGGGTGACGTCAAAGTGGGAGGCGCCACACGGCACGTGTCGTTGATGACACGCCGTTAGGGCCCTCACAGGCACTGTAAACGATACCTGCTCTGTAAATAAATCAACTCGGAATTCAAAGTCACTGTGACGACGCTGCTGCGTGCGTTAATTGGAGGCGGAGGCCTGTTTTAGAGGGACTCGAGTTGTGGTCGAAACGCCTGTTTTTGTTCAATTCAGGCATGTGTTAGTGCAGTGTGCACTGGTACAGCTCCTTGCAAGCAATAACATCCCATACCGTTTTCTCCGCGACCTATCGCTGGAACGCAATAACCCCCTCCTGCGTGACCACCATTGATCAATCACGCAGGCCGGCAATCGGGTAATCTCGGCTCGTTTACCGATTTACTGGCCGAGTGACCGCGGCCGGCGGCGGATCAGGATCGGGCCTCCTCGATGGGTCGGATGTCATTGCACATCTGGAGATCGTTGAGCGTCGGCCGGTGGCGGCACACGTTCCATCAACGTCACGAGCTGGACGGTTAATTCGGGGGTCCACCTGAGGTCGGTGCCAGTTGGAGCCAGCCGCCCAGCGCGGCCGCCGTCCAGAAAAACCCACATGGAAACGAGAGCAGGAACGAGATTGGAAGGGGCGGAGAGGTTGAGATTAAAAGCAGACGATAAAAGCAGCGAACTTTTTGTAAAAAGATTCCTATCATATAGACTTTAAAAAACCGTTCCCTTGCCTTTTCTCTAGATGATATGCTTTTCAGATACAATTGAGTAAACCAGGACTGAAAAAAATCCCTGGTACTTGTGGTAAGCTGAAAAAACAAAAACTCAGAAAACAAACGTTTCCGGCTACAGGAGAAACCATAAAGGGAGCATAGAAATCCCAATCGGCACTGATGAATGCCAGCTTTGAGCATTCCATTTCACCGCATTCATCCCCGTCGAAATCCCGCGAATATGCGAAAATAACGAATGGCCCGTCATCGGCCGCCGGCGAAGTACACCTACACCACACAAATCCAAATATTTATCATTTACGTCGGCAACCGGTCGCAATTAGCATTTCGCGGCCGGCGAGTGATAATTCAGCGTTTTCTGACACGGTTCTGACGCGCCGCAGGCCGGCCGGCCGGCCGCCTTGGAGGGCCGCCAGGACACCGATGAATTGAGAGACGAGTTGGCCGAGCCATCGGAGCTGATCGGTCGCCGATGGGGACGGGACGCGCGCGCTGAGCCGACGTTATGCAAAGTCAGACGGCGAGACGCGGAACCGAGCGACGCGCCCCGCCTGGCCGTCGTCGATAAAGGGAAGACAATCGGCGAGTGCTGGAGGGTAGTGTAAACGTTAGCAGCCGGTCGGACGGACAGACAGTTGTATCAGTCGAGAGTTCACAGAGTGCACAGCGCCGAGCCAGGTATCTTGACGAGCGTGATATGTTGGAGGGATTACCGAGCTCGTCCAGCCCGCCGTGAGTGAAATGTGCCACCATAACGCCGGTCCCATGTCTTGTTCAATTGAGAACAATCTACATAAAGACAGGCATTTTATACAGACTAGGGAAAATCTAACAAACCAATATGTAGATGAGCATTGAACAATAATAGGCTGCAACAGCAGATAAATACAACTCTCCTGTCTCCTCAGGCACGCCGATGAGAATGACCGCACCTCTGTCAGCCCTTCCACTCCATCTGGGATCACTCTCCGTTGAACTGCGCGTCCATTTCCACCGAGAGCTGCACTGGGTCAGAGCCGGCCCGGCTGCGATGGCTCTCCCAATCAGCCTGATCACGACACCGCAAACGACCCGGCCGAGCGGGCCCTCGACAAAAACGGCGCACTCTGTCCAGCGCTGGGCGCCGCCATCGACCGTCGCCGCCACCGCCGCCGCCGCCGCCGCCGCCGCTACTGCCCTCCGGCCAGCACTTGGCCGGGGAAATGAGTGCCGATCACCATCCACAACACAGCACCCATTAGCGCGCCGCATTACGCAGCACGAGCCAAAAGCGGCGCGGCAAACGCCGCATATTGGCGACCACCACTTTGCCGAAATCTGATCCGGAGCCAGCCGCGTGCAACGGGGACGGCCAGAGATGATGGAATAGTGCTCGTCGGCAGCGGCAGCGGACCACGTGCGGACAGTCACGCATCGCCCCGTGCCGAAAACGTGGCGCCGTGTGCCGTTACGTGCCGCCACGTGCGGCCACGTGCCGGTGCGTGGTGACAGACGCGGCTAAATATTGGCACTTCCTGCGCGGAAACGGTTCCGCAATGTGTGTGGAATGTCAGGAAGCAGACTCCGAGCTATTTTAACACAACGCCTACACTTCCTGCCTAAGTAAACTAACATGACCAGGCAGTATGAGCACTTTGGTGAAATGCTCGCTTACCTGAACAGGCGTGCAAATTAGGGCGCCGGTACTGAACTAAGTTTTGGAAATATGGCTTTGAAAAATTGGCGCAAACCTTTCCTTATTTTTCCAGCATCCGGTGTGATAGAAGCCCACGCCTAGATCGTTCCCATGGGGCACACGAGCACATGTAATTCGGTTGATCGGTCCCGATAGCTTGCCATCACAGGCCTGAAGATGTACTCCATAAAATAAAAGAAGTCATTCCAGGTTAGCGTTGCAAATTAAATAACTCATGAATGAATGGGTGACTTTCAAAATCAGTCCTTCATAAAAATAGTATTGGTCAAAAAGGGGATAGTTTCAAGTGACCAGTGAACTTGACTGCAGGCGGTGTGTTACACTAAAAAACCCTCCGAACTCCTATGAGCATGAGCCTCATCAGCAGCCACACCGTGCCCAGAGCGTTACCCGAGCTCCCTGGTGTGAGGCCGGTGACTGAGTGACCCCATCTCCGCCCGTCAGCAGCGCCTGAGGTCAGCGGTTTGGCCGGGGGCACGAGCAGGGGAGGGGTCAGTACCGCCGGGTGGGTATCGTATAACGTCGGCCGGCAGAAGAAGCTGACCCCGGGGACCGGATCGGCCGCACCACTGACCATACAGCCGCTGCCAGTCAGTCTCATCTCCCGGGACAGGGGAGATAACTGGACCCTCGGGACGGGAACGGCTTCCTCGGGGCCGAATGTCTTCAGAGAACGGGATTTTCTTTGTGTCGTAATATTTCCAAGGAACGTGTGCCATTTTTGTGGTAGCCCCAGCCGGAATGATTGTTTTTATTCCATGACCTTGTCAGTTTAAAGTTACAGAAATGCCTACCTCAGACAGCTTGCCACGTTCAATATGCTGCGAATCAATCACGCTGCTCTTTAACAAGTAGCTTAACGATACATTTCGAACACAACAAATCGTCATCATGACATGCTTCTAATCTCCGAAAGAGGAAAAAAACTGATATGCTTGAGTTTCTAAACAAGCAAAACTTTGCCGAGTCAGTAGCTTAAAATATATCTCTGCCAAATCGCCCACGCGGTTGGCACTTTGTCTTGTTGAGCGGATTATCTTGCCTCCAGTGTAGACTCGCAGTTGGACAAATACACCAGATATCCCTTATCGCGCGCTGAAATGCTACACTAGGGGGAGACATGTCAAAGGGACGTTTTAATGTTGTCCCCACGTGTTGCGCATTAAAACGTTATTTATTTTCCCTTGTAGTGAGAATGATATTTGATATTTTCGCGGAGGGCTGGCACAGGATGAAATGTTAATGACAACCAGCCATTTTAAGTCACGAAAACGCATTCACGTTGCGAAATACTTATATCTTTCCCTGGTTTGGCAACTGGTCAATGATCGGTCATCGATCGGTCACTGATCAGTGATCAGTCACTGGTCACAATTGCTGATCAGTTACTTATCGACCACTCGTTGGTCACTGATCAGTGATCGGTCAATGACCGGTCACTGCTGGATCGGTCACTGGACAGGTGCAGATCGGTCGGTCGGTCGGTCAGAGAGGGTCTAGGGGGGAGGGGCTCCTCCAGCAGCACCGGACGGATGCCCTCCATCAGGACAGCCGACCGGTAGACGGCGGATACTCATCACAGACCGACCGTCGCCGCCGCACGCGATGTACCCCGCAGGGGGCGGGGCACCTACGGGAGGGGGAGGGGACCCACGCGCCAGATGAGGCCCAGAGGCGGGGCTGACCAATCCCAACGAGAGAGAGGAAGGTGCTGATCACCTCGTATAGGAAGAAGGATGGAGCTATTTCCGTATCCACTATACGGGACACTGAATAGAAGTGGGGTAGGAGGGATGACTCCACCGCTGGGGAGGGGTGGGGGTGGGGGTTCGCCCCCACAGGAAGGACGGCCCGATCGCATGCTGCGCTCGGAGAGACAGGCTGCCAATAGCACGCGACGGGGGAGGTCGGGGCGATAAGCAGAGCACAGAGGATATAGGACAGTCAGGGCGGGCGGCTCTGCACTGGCCAGAGACGAACAGGTGCGCTGCGCCGCTGCCATGGCTCGTGCAAGAGCATTTATTTTCTCAAAACGGATAAATATTTGGTTCACGATACATGTGATTGCAATGTCTTCACTAATGCAGTTGCGGTGAAAATTTGCGGGAACCCACTGACTGATGTTCAGTTGACGCTCAATGTTTGATAAACCAGTAGATTTGTTCGCTTGAAAGCGACGCATTGACTTACACGACCACCCGAGGAAGGACTCAACCACCCACACCCCAGCGGACTCACCTAGATTTGAGGTCGGCGGGTGCCACGGGCGCGCCGGGGCCGCCGGGCGCGCCCGCCGGCGGCGGCGCTATCTTTCCCGCCAGCGCGTTCAGCGAGGTGAGCTTCAGCGCCTGATCACTGGCCGCCTTCTCCGAAGCCACCTGGTCTCTGTGCATGACACTGCGGCCGCCGCAGCTCCCGCAGCGACACCGGGCTCTCACACAGCAGCAGAGTCTACCTTCGGGCTTGTCTGTCAGCTCACAAACTTGATAACGTCTTCAGCTCACTTCCCGCTCACGTCTTGCTCACGTCCGAGCCACGTCCGCTCACGGCGCACCGTCTCACGTCCTGCTCAGCTCGTGGCACGTGGTCGACACCGCCGCGTTCGGTCGGCTGGAGTCCGTTCCAGCGGCCGGTCCGGTCGGCTATTTCGGGTCGGCGTCACCTGCGACGCGGCCGACGGTCGGAGCGCGGGTCCCGCCGCCACCGACGACGACTGGCGACTCGCGACGGGCGGCAGTGGAGGTCTCCGAGCGAGCCGCGTCGGCGGACCGGCGCCGAGGAGAGCTGGCGGCGGGTGGATCTGCTGGAGACGCTGTGGAGGAGGACGGTGGACGCCGGGCTGGTGTGTCGCTGTCCGCCGCGCGCCGAGTGACCGGTGGATCGCCGTCGGAGCGTCGCTGTACTCTGGCCGGGCGCGGGCAGCGCGGCCCGCCGGCCGGCGCTATCTGCCCGCTCCGGCCGATAAGATAGCGGGCCGCCGCGCGCCGTCATCGCATACCCGGCTATCGCATGGCATATGGCGGCGTCCGGCCGCACCTGGCGCCGGACGCCGCCCGGCACACAAACTCACAAACTCACACAAACTCAGCGCCCGGCACATAAACTCGCAAACTCAGCCTCGGCGACCGACATACAAACTCACAAGTCAGGCGTCCGGCACATAAACTCACAAACTCAGCAATCCAAAATAGCTAAGCACCGTTTCACACGGCACACAAATTCGACGTGCGGCACCCAAACTCAGTCCATGCGGCATACAAGCTCAGCAGTCCGCAAACAAACTCAGCACCACGCACATCGCTATTGGATAAGCCAAGGGCAGGTAGGCATGAACGTCATACACTGTTGTAAATGGGTGCAAGGCAGCGGCTTCCGTTACGCCCTAAAGCACATCGAAAATCGTCCCTCGTGCAGCCTCAGCACCACTCTGCCACCACCACTGCCAGTTCGTTGCCCGACCTTTTATGTTTTAGCCAACGCTGGTGGTCTCTTAGCGCTCGAGACGGGAGTGGCTTTTGTCTCCCGATCAGGCGGCCTTTTAATCGAAGCAAATGAGCTGACTCAACGCTGACTGCAGTTAAGACTGCAGAAATGAGCAAAAGACCTCATTATGTGAAGTTTCAAAGACGCAGTTCATCAATTTATCAACAATACTCCCGACAAAACGTGTAAAAATGGATTACTCAATTTTGCTGTGTTGAAGAACGATGAAGCTCGTCGTTGGGCATGTATTTTGGCAACACAATCAATACCAATGCAATTAAAGACGCACCCGATATAGCATCCACTCACAAGTATGATGTGCTGATTTCGTGACACATCACTCATTATAGACAGCGCATCGATCCGAGACAATCACGTCGACCTCAGTCCTTCCCCCGCCCCACTCAGCCAGCACTACACGTTGAAGAACAGAAAGTCCAGCAGCATTGCCGCCCCCAGCAGGGTGATCTTAGCTCGTGACGGCAGCGCACTGTCGAACTGCACACCGTAATTGTCACTGCGCCGGAACACGTCGACATCAAGCGGCTGCCAGCGGGCGGCCACGGCGCCAAGCCGCGCGCGCCCGTGCATCCCCAGCACGTGGAACACGGCGTCCCCAGAGGAGGCGCAGCAGCCGCGCGGCGGGCCGCGGACCCGGAGCACCACACCGCCGCGGATCCCGCTGCAGACGAACTCGGCGCGCGTCAGGTGCCACCGCTGCCGGATGACGCCGTAGAACATCTCCGACTCGGGCGCCAGGTCAGGCTGCTTTTCCTCCAGCGCCCGGATCGAGTCGCGCAGCCGGGCGCGCTGCAGGCAGCACGGGCTCCAGCAGGAGACGCAGGCGAGTCGGCGGCTGAACTGGGCCACCGGCCGCTCGTCCATGTCGAACAGGGTCATGGTGAATGGTCGACGGTGCGCCGGCCAGCAGCAGCAGCACGCACGCCGCAGAGCTGACCGGTCAGTCTCCACCGCAAACAGCAGCGGGTTCCCCGCCTGGTCCAGCACCAGCATCTTCTCGCCGCTGAACTGCTGGAACCGGTGGCTCAGGTAAACAGGCTGGATGATGAACAGACTGACGGTCGCTAGACGCGTCACCAGGCTCTCCCGAGTCTCCGGCTGCTCAGGGATCCGGCCGATCAGGGTGTCCGTCAGTCTGAATCTCCTCATCAGTGACTCCTGAGAGTCAGCGCCGGGCGCGGTGGGTGCCGCCATCGACAGGCCCGACATCAGCTCTCCAGGAGCCGAGGTCACCGATGAGGCGTCCGGGTCACCGGCGCGACCCGGCCGAGGGCGCAGCACCGGCGCCGGCCCGTCGTTCAGGGGAGTCAGCGGTCGCGAGGTACCACTGACGGGGGTGTCGCGCGCCACGCTCGAGTCCGGGGGTGTTCTCTCTAGGCCGGAGCGGTGCAGGGCGGCGTCATCGCTGGCGGCGAACACGCGTGACCTGCCGAGCAGGCCGGAGGGCTCGCGGCGCCGGCCGTAGGCCGTCCACGGGTCGCCCGGCCGGCTGCGGCCCAGCGACTGGGAGCGGCCCGGGGCGCTGGTCCGCGCCGCGGCGACTCCTTGGGTCGGGCTGGGGGTCATGATGCGGACGTCGGGCCAGTCACCCGCACTCTCAGCCGACTCCGGGTCACGCAGGTCACGCACCTCACGCAGCTCGACATTTGAGGTCAGATTGGGGTCACCCTGGACGATCACACTCACGACTATCTTTCCATCTCTTTCGGACATTGAGACCAGTTGCGTTTGTGAGAGCCACCAGTTTCAAAGACAAAATGTATGCATGCTGCAATAGAAATATGCGATTGTTGTTCTTACGGAATGAGAAAAGCAGAGGTGCCTACTCCTCTGAACTTTGACCGACCACTCGAAGAGAATAAAATGTGAGTCGCCGTGCTTAAACAGCTGTTGATAATAGCAATTGACTCGTGCCGCACGATCTTGTTATCACCAAAGATTACTAGGACATGTCACTTTTTCACTCCCTTTTTAACTCCTCTAAACACTCGCGTCATGAACTCGCCTTTTGCCGCACAACCCAATCTACCCGCCACAATTGTCGAAGCAGCTTTATAATTAGAACCAAGCTCGTGCACTTTATGGTGAAAGTACCATCACTAACTAACGACAGCTTTATTGAATGGTATGGTGTCAGTCATCGAAGTTACTTCTCGGATACACCACGACGGGTGAAAGATAATGCAGTGATTATTTTGTGGGACGAGCAGATAACGGCCGATGGGAGAAAATGGGCGTCAAGTTTTCCCGCGACTGGTGTGCCGCGGAGTCTGAACCCATCCCGTTGGAAAATAGGTCAGGAGTGTCCCGTTGGGACAGTGCACCTATAGTAGCTGCTCAAACGGTCACCCTGACGGGCATCCCTTGATATCTGCCCTCGGCCCATAGGCGGCGGAACGGGGGGGGGGGGGCACCGGGGCACCGTGCCCCCCCTTGAATTCTGCAAGGGGGGCACCAATAGCAAGGTGCCCCCCCCTTAAATTTGATGTATAAGTACCAGGGGCGGATTCGGGAAAACTCCAAGGGGAGGGTCATGAATCGAAGTGGTGCCCCTACCTATACCCAAAATTAAAACCTCAACGGATTTCGGCCACTTAATTTTGGTGGTGCCCTATTTTCAGTTTTTTTTATTTTCTTTATTTTTGGTTAGTCGTTGATGACTGGTGCCCCTGCTAGACCGCTGGTGCCCCTGGAAAGACTGTGGTACCTACCTTCCCTGCCCCCTGACAAGCCTACGGTGGGCCCTGCACATGACTTAGGTGCCCATGGGCCCTGACAGGCCCGTGGTGCCCCTGACAGGCCTAAAGGTGTTCTTGCTAGGCCTGTGGTGTCCCTGGGCCTTGGCAGGTCTGTGGTGCCCCTGGCGAGCCTGTGGTGCCCCTGTTAGAACGCAGGTGCCCTTGACAGGTTCGTGGTGCCCCTGACAATCCTAAAGTGCCAACGACAGGCTTGTGGTGCCCTTGACAGGCCCATGGTGCCCTTGCGAGGCCGGTGGTTCCCCTGCGAAGCCGATAGTGCCCCTGGCAGGCCTCTGGTACCCCTGGCAGGTCTGTGGTGCCCCTGAAAGACCTGTAGTGCTTTTGCTAGGCCGATGGTGCTCCTGACAGGCCTGTGGTGCCACTGACAGGCCCGTGGTGCCCCTGCTAGGCCTGTGGTACCCCTGGCGGGCCTGTGGTGCCCCTGTCGGCTGTCAGGCCTGTGGTGCTCCTGGCAGGCATGTGGTGACCCCAGGCCCAAAGTCATGACCCATGTGACCACCCCCCTGGGATTCGCCACTGATTAGTACTGCGATGGCTTTTTGGTAATTTGATACATGTAGGATTAATGAAATTTATCAAACGAGAATAAGGAAGAGACAAACACATAGGTACTTGAGGATCAGCTTAAAGTTAACCACACATACGGGGGTAAACTGCCATTTTCGTGTAGTAAAAAAAAAATAAAAAATAAAAAAATCATCGTGTCAGGGCTGTGACGAAAAATAAGTGGCCTAAATCCGATGAGAAAACAGGATTTGGGGGTACCCTAGGTTTGGCTCCTTGAGCTGGTGCCCCCCCTTGTCTCAAATCGTTCCGCCGCCTATGCCTCGGCCTCCTCCGAGCGTCTGGTGAGATGGCAGTCGAGATGAACGTCGACCGGGACAATGAAGATACAAATGGGTTGGTCCTCACTCCTCAGGTTGAAGAGGACGGATGTGTGGGTGGGATGAAGGTGATTGAACCTCACTGAAACAGAGCATCTATTATCTGCGAGCACTGAGTAGTGCCCTGCCAACCAACCACATAGAGCCGATTTTCCCTGCCCCGTGCTGCCATCTACGACCGTTATGCCCCGTCTGCTGCTGCCACCAGGCATCTGTACCACCTCTCAGAGAATCGTCAGAGAATGCAACGAACGGCGTGATTGAGATTCGATGAACAAAACGGCCGCTCCAGGCCTATAACTCTTTTATACAGACGACGAAATTAGCAGCGTATAATATTCGGATAGGAGACTGATTGAGCTATTCTTCATTTAGGAACTGTCCGAGAGATGATCAGAAACGGATATGGCGTCCATTCTTATCACAGATAGTTTACAATGCAAATTATATTGCTCATTAATTTGCACTTTGCATGATCCCATGTGTATCCCCTGCTCAGAAACACACTCTCGACTTCCGCTGAAGCAAACCTTTCGGTGCATTGTTATTCTGATCATCCCCGAGGCCGGTAAAAATAGGTTTTCATCACACTTTGGCTTTAGTAATATTCGGTATTTTGTTTGTTCATATTATCCTTCGGCCAGTTACCTATTTTATTTTTATAATGCCTAGCAGCGGGTATCAACCAGTGGCCACGACATAACTTAATCGCCATCGGATCGACCATTCATACAGAAGTTGCAGCTCCTTCGCGTTTTTGCGCGGCCTCTGCGACGACTCCAGCAATGCATACCTTTCGGCCAGAACCGTATACGGTGGCTGCAGGGACAGCCGGCTGTCCCATGCCACGTGTAGCTCAGCCTAAAGCAGCAGTCGCAAGTGGCGCTAAGAATGGTTTATTGGTCCCCACCGGCAGTGCAAAGGCTGACGCAAGCGACGCAGCACACATGACCGTCAGCTCGAGGGAAAACGCCGGTGCCCATGGCTCCTGAAAGGCATAGCTCATCGGTCGGGGACCGGGTACGACTGGCGCGTGGTTTCGATATCCGCAGCGATTAGGATGTTGGGAGCGTTTGAGCGTTTGCTGGAGTGGAGTGTTTGCTCTGATATCGTCCCTGAGCATTTCGGTCCGAATGTAAGTGGAACCTGAACTGCGCAGCTCCATTCACCCGCCTCCGCGCGTAGGGATCAGGAGTGGTGCCCAAGGTCAATGATCACAGCCTTGCAGTCAAGGCCGATAGCGGAAATCTAAGTCACCTTCACACACAACCAACGCACAAAATACACAACCCAGTTCCAGCCCCATATTTCCAGTCACGACTAGCTTCCTTCTAATCTCAAAACTCTAAAATCCCACTGCACATGCACCGATTATGAATCATTTTCTTCGAAAAAACATTGATTACCTCTTTTACCAAGTCATGGCAAATTTCTTAGGTGTCACAACTCACAACTCATGGAGTCATCTCTACTGTATCTGCTCCCCCTCCCTCTCTCGCCAGCGCACTTTTTCGTCGATCCTCCCTCTTTGTCTCTGTCTCTGTCTCCGTCTCTCTCTCTCTCTCTCTCTCTCTCTCTCTCTCTCTCTCTCTCTCTCTCTCCTCTCTCTCTCTCTCTCTCTCTCTCTCTCTCTCCTCTCTCTCTCTCTCTCTCTCTCTCTCTCTCTCTCACTCTTCTGCTTTCCTCTCCTCTACTCCTCTGCTCTGCTCTGCTCTGCTCTGCTCTGCTCTGCTCTACTCTCCTTCCCTTTCTTCTCCTCTCCCCTCTCCTGTCCTCTCCTCTCTCTCCCCTCTATCGCCCTGCGGCTGTGCATTTCTCCAATGGTGACACCATCATCGTAGCCCGGCGGCGCAGACGGTTCTCGAGTCGGCCAAGTCACGAACCAACGACTCACGGTGACATGGCAGGAGCAGCGCTGTGGCGATCGAGCCGACCGACCCCAGGATTTGCCACTGGACTTCCTGGGTCGGTTCGCCGTGCCTCCATCAGGTGAACTGCATACAGGTGAACATCCAGTCTACACACTTTCCTAGGAGAAATCCATGAGTTAAAGTGGTACTTATTTGTGTGAAGGATAAAAAGCAATAACTCACTGCCCGCTCCCGACGCTCTCTGTTGATCAACTCACTGTTGATAGTTCATGTGTTACAACTTACAATGTTAGATAGATATAAAACTCTGGAGAAAAAGATGAAAATGTGCAGCACAATAAATGTCGGACAAGTGCTAAGCCTTGGGGTCACGACTCACGGATATGGCCATTGGTCAAGCAGCCTTGCACTTCTCACAGATAAGTATACCAGGACGCATCAAAACAAATGTCTCCCTACAGTTTTCAATTGGAAACCCGACTACGAAAGACTCTGTGAGGATACGAGCAAAACTGCCGTGACACAAGCGCGAGTGACTTTTACTGCAATTCATGTTTGATTGTGGACCGCAGACAGACATAACAGGCCCCATCTGAGCAATCAAACCACGGAGTGCAAGAGCATTAACTTGTTACAGCCTTTCAGTAGACGTCAACAAGTCAGCCAAGACACAATCAAACGAGCATACCAATCAGCACATGACTTTGTACGTAAGTACTTCATCACCCCTGGATCCTGGCCTTGGTGCTGACGCATTTGTCCTTGGCGCATTCAGTTCAGACCAGGGGCAGCTTCGTGCGTACCGCGAGAGGGACGCGACCGTCTGCCCGACGCGGCCATGTGGCGGCATCTTCCTAGCCATCACACGCTGCCAAATCTTATCTTCTCAGCACACGCGTGATTATGCATGCAGCCCGCAGTGTAGCCATCCTTCACTGCTGGAGGTCCTCGCATACGACCGGACCACCGCTCCTCAACCAGCGCCGCCAGCCATCCCTGCCCGCAGCCTCCACGCCACTCGGCAAATGTGTGACCTCCCTGGGGGCAGCGCGGCGACGCGTCGCCTCTATCCACGGATGACGCTGCAGTAATAGACCACTCGGAGGCGGTGAATGGGCGGCGTCATGGCACGGAGTGCGGAGGTGACGACCCACCACGGGCTCGGGCGGAGCGCCTCAGTCGGAGCAGCGCTCGCTCGGGCGGGAGGATAGCAGTGTGACCCGTCAGCTCGCAGTGACAGCGCGCCGCGGACGGTGCTGCGGTGGGGGAAGACGGTGTGGAAGACCGTGCTACAGGAGGTGACGAAGAGGCGGTGAGGCAAAAGGAGAGTAATTAAGGTATGTTCGGCTATTTGGAGATGGTATACGGTGGTCACGTCATTCGATTCCGGGTGTGTCTTATTGGACGACGAACGCCAAGATCACATCTGCCATGGTGTGAAGTGATTTTTGCCTGTTGAACTAAGAGATTGACATTATTTCTACCGGTATAAAAATGTTAAGAACGTGCCCAAGCCTAGAATAGGATTTTTTAGATTGTTTGTTATTTAATGATTAATTTATTCATTTATTAATGATCAATTCATTAATACAGTTACCAAGATCAGTTCCATTGAGATCCTATTAAAGCTGGAATCAGTAATTCCAATAAAAGTCACAACGCATGCAGTGCACTTTATCGCTATTCAAGACAAGCTTCGTAAAACAGGATGTTTAAAAATGCCTACCGAAAACCGAACAGCACACGAGAAGATAAGATAAATAAGACCGACCTAGACAGATACAATATTTTTCAATATGTTAATCTTTCGTAAAAGCCTACCTGCCTGTACACTGAAAGTGACGAAACTACCTGAGCGAGACCGCCAAAGGATCCAAAAGTATGCACGAAAACACAGATGAGCGAGAGACTGCAACGAGAACTGAAAACTAACCAAAGCACAGCAAAGCGGCAGGCAGTTATGATTCCTCACTCCACATGTAGGTAATGTCACTGCCTTTATTTGAATATTATATCTCGAATGGCTAACAATGACTGTTTCAACTAAGGTAAAAGCGGGAACATCGCGTGCTCGGCAAAATGTTTGATAAGGAGAGCGCAATCGAAAATATAGCATTGCGACACGAATGAGGCCCACGATAGCCGATTGTAGGCCGTTACCCATTTTGCCACAGTCATGGATGACTAAGTGCAATCTCTCACCGTCTTGCTCACCACTGACTGGTGGAAATACACCAACAACCTAATGTAGGACCAGGTGTGTCGGTTTGACTATCTTTATAGGTCAGATCTGCCCAGATAGGTCCTCAAAGCCGTGGATGGCCGGATATAGTAGATAACGCCTCGACATATGAAGTCAGACGAGGATAGTCCAAAGAGCACCATGATTATCCTACCAGCCGATCTTTCCCGCAGCCCATCCGATTCATCGGTGTTAATTTAAACCAAAAAGTTAAACGTAAATCACGCTGGTGCAGATATGATCGTCCCGGGTCTAGGCATAGCCGAACATCGCCAATAGACAGTTGACATTCAGATTATCGAGTTATTCCTGATGTTTAGGAACAAAAAAAAAAAAACAAAACAAATAATTTGAGCCGCGATGTCAAATTTACGTGACTTTACGACTACGGTTATGATCAGTACCAACAATATAAAAATTAAACTACGGTTGTAATGTGCATGCACGACAAAGCAGCAGCTACAAAATGTTTCCTGATTATCTCGTCATTATTCCGAAATATACAGCGGAAAGCTAGGGTGATCGAGACATTTGACCAATTATTACGATCACGGATAACAGTAGTACTACTGTTATCTGTGTTACGATTGTAGCTGATGAAAATGTCTTCGTTTCCCCTGTTGACAGATTTGGCAAAATGCCAGCGGCGGGGGTGGACGTGGCGGCCGCAGTGTCGTTCTCCGTCAACAACCAGCAGCAGAGAGGTAAGTACCTGCGTTTCTAATGTAACACCTGTCTGCCAACCCGGGGACGCAGATAAGGTCTGTCACTCAAAAGGTATATTCAAAGGTTATTCAAACATAACACGATGAAAAGTATCACGAAAGTATGCATCACACGAAGATAGATGACTCAAATATATCGGGATAATAAATATTACAACTCTTCGAACATCACTCCATCTAAAAAGGTATGTAGGAGGGCCAGTAAATTATCGCGTTTATTGGAGTGACGACAGAGTTTTTATTGAAAGTGGGTTAGGCACACCGTACGCTCCTATCACAACATTGTCGATGACTTGTATTTTCTATTGCAGTGCCACTTTTCACAGTGACAGGCAAAGAAAACATAACAGATGACGTCCACCATTCCAGGTGTGAGGTGACAGCCAACTCTTTCACATTTTCGGGTCAAGTTCCGTGAGGTCGCTGTTTTAATTTCGATATCCAAGTAGCCGGATTTCAGACGCCAAAAGAGAGACATCCAAACACAACTATAGCTGACACCGAACACTTTTCAGTGTCGAAGCGAGCCACCAACGATGAGACGGTACCCAGTGATGTCACGTCGACCACGACGCTGGCCGAGTACCTGCGACAGCACCAGCAGCTGCCCGGCACAAAGACCATGTGTCGCGAGGGCATGTGCGGCGCCTGCGTGGTCAACGTGACCTCTGTGAACCCGGCCACCGGCCAGATGGAGAGTCGCGCCGTCAACTCGTGTATGGTGCCGCTCAAGGCCTGCCACGACTGGAAAATCGAGGTAAATGTACACGGATCGATATTCCTCGATGCATCGAGCGCCATTCGATTTCCCAGCTCACGGTCGCTTTAATCAACTTGCTAGTGTTATTCTTTATACAATCGTAGCCATTATTACTAGTTATTAGTTAATGTCACTCATTAAAACATATGACCCTTGATTTCGTCTTCAGACTGTGGAGGGCATCGGGAACAGGAAGGACGGCTACCACCCGGTGCAGGCGAGGCTGGCTCAGATGAACGGCACCCAGTGCGGCTACTGCAGCCCGGGAATGGTCATGTCCATGTACAGGTGAGACATAACGTAAGCGCATAACGTTACAGGTATAACTTTAGTGGTAAAAAAAGGACGAACCCTCCACTTGAGCGCGGTGTCCTTTCACTCGTGCATGCGTGGATTTTTCGACGATGCGCTAGAGCAAAATACACCTAAAATGTTTGTTTTTCTGTGCATCTTTCTCACGAAAAACGTCGATCGAATTACCAAAATTATGGCTTCCCGTAATAAAAAGAAAAACAATTAAGACTCCCCTAACGCCATACTCAACGTGCTGCTGACAGTCTGCTGAAGTCTGGGGGAGAAGTGACCGAGGAACAGGTAGAGCAGGCGATGGACGGCAACCTGTGTCGCTGCACCGGCTACAGGCCCATCCTGGACGCCTTCAAAACATTCAAGGCAGACGCCGACGAAACTACCAAGAAGATCGTCAAGGATATCGAGGTAAGTTTACCGCTGCCGTCAGTCCGTCTGGGTGCAGTCGCCGGTGCGAACGAGTAGGTACATAGACCGGATCAGATGCTCTTATCCCGTCTGCCTGTTGCTTACTAGAAGCCCAGTATCAGCATGACATGCTTCAGTACCCGGAGCGTGCTGTCATCACCGCCGGTAATAAAACCCGAACCGTTTCCGTAACGTCCCTGTCAGCCGCAATCTGTAACCCGATAGGCCGGTGAGCCGCACCATTACGCTACCCGCTGCGGGAGCCGAGGTTGCGAAAACCGCACCGCAAATCGAGCGGTGTGCCCCGATGCGTCTGATGCTACGAGTAGGTGAGATATCGACTTCGAGGATAAAACCGCTAAGGATAGGTCGCTATATGTGTGACATAATTAGCGGCTTTGGAATATTGGCAGGTCCAATAAGCACGCAGCTGAAGTCCTTATCCCGACTTACATAAATACCAGTAAAACGCCTTTTGGGCGAAGAACGAGCGAGCGAGATAGTGAGCCCTGCACGTGCAGAAGGGCGAGAGGGTACTTCCAACGGGCTTGTGCAAAGCACCCTTCTAACCGGTCGCTAGCGGTGTGCCAAATTTGAACGCAATCGGCCCAGCCGTTCCTGAGATCTGGAAGCGGCATTCTGCACGTGCGCACGTGCTAACGGGGTCCAAAATGACTTTTGCACGGCACCCTACTAACCGGTCCCCCAACCGTGTACCAAATTTGAGCGCAATCGGCCCAGCCGTTCTCGAGATCTGGAAACGCCCCCTGCACGTGCGCACGTGCAGTAGCACCCTAACCGCAACACGTGGGAATGCATTGCCTGGTGGGTGCCTACCTGTATGCCAAGTTTCAGCGAAATCGCCCCAGTAATTACCGAGTTACTGAAATGGGAACAAATTTGGCACCTCTCATTGTTGTATTTTGCACGTGCAGTGGGGGTCACTCACATAGATGAAGAGTATCCGACCTTTGGTAGAAGGGATGCAGCTACCCTATAAAAGTGACCGCAAGACAATCGCTCAAGCCGCTGCTGAGATATGGGCCTCTCAAAATCATTACTTTTGCAAAACTGCTTGAACACCCTTGACTTTTCATGTGGCACGTGCCACGGCGGTCACTGAGATGTATCAAAAGTAGTCAATTACGGGGTAGAAGGGATGGGGCTACCCAGCAAAAAAGACCGCAGGCCATTCGTTCCAGCGGTTGCTGAGATATAAGCCTCTCAAAAGCGTTACAGGCCGGGCCGGGCCGGGCCGGGCCGGGCCGGGCCGCTCATACTGAGATTTTTCCGTTATATTGAAAAGACTTCGCTTCGCTCGCTGCGCTCGCTCGCTCGTAATTATTGGGCCACCTGCTGTTTCCGAGATAGGCTTCAATATAATTCAATGAGTTGTGAACTATATTTGGGTTATTACTGAAAACTGAAATGCCTCGCACTTCATTTCGTTTTCTGTGATCTCAGGAGACAGCCGGATGTCACAGTAACAAGAGAGGACCGTGCCAGTCAAAGACAGCCTGTGCAGGGTGTCCTCGGGTGAAGTCGTCATCCACGGCGGCTGATGACGACTGGCGTCTGCCGACGTCACTCCAGCAGGCCATCAGCGACATCGGGACCATGTCCAACGGCGGCAAGACCATCCGAATGGTGGCCGGAAACACCTCCATGGGTAAGACTCGGTCCCGGGTCAGCGGCAGATATTTCTGGAGTGGGAGGGAGTTTTAATTTGGTTTCAAGAACTCCAGAGCCGACGTGGAGTTAATTTCCCATCACTCTTCCGCAGGTGTGCTGGACAAATACAACGATCCGTCGGACGGCTACATCTCTCTGCTGAAGATCCCGGATCTGCGCGTCATCAAGCGTCCCGGCGATCAGAAGTCCAAGTTCAGCAGCTCGTCGGATGGCGCCGTGTTCGGGGCGGCCGTCACCCTATCTGAGCTCATCAGCGAGTTCGACGAGCTGGCCAAGAGGGCCGGCTACAAACACTGCGCGGAGATGGCCAAACACCTGCGGGTGGTGGCCAACACGCCCGTCAGGAACGCCGCCACCTGGGCCGGCAACCTCATGATCAAACACAAGTACAGAGACTTCCCGTCGGACGTCTTCCTTCTGTTGACGGCCGCCAAGGCCAAACTGAAAATCGGTAGGTTCCTGACGTACCGGGTCATCGAAAATCATCGAGGTTGAAACAGAAGTGGTAATCACGTTTAGTGTCAATCGATTGTAGCAGTAGCTGAAACCGCAGATGGAAACAGCGTACATTTGCCTTTGTATCTCATTTTTCGTGAAGCAGCTGTAAGACGGTAGATAAGTAAAGGTTGCTATCAATTGCATCCCTTTTAACATAGTGCACAAGGTGCAGTCTGATAGAATAATATAGAAACATACTGTTACTTCAAGATTCTCATTTTAATATGCAAGTTTGTAAAACAGAAAACAGAAACAAAACTAAAATGTCACGCCGTCTATTTGTCTTTCTTTCAGCGGAGGGACGGAAGATGGAGGAGATGTCTATCGACAAACTGTACGAGATCAGCATGACCAACAAGATCATCGTCTCCATGAGCCTCCCTCCCATGGACAACAATAAATGCGTCTTCAAGTCGTACAAGGTTTATTTGGAGATCATAATAATACAAGAACCGACGCCAAAATATTTTGGCAGAATTACGCATTAATCCGGTATTTTCATCGTCTGTAATTCGGTGCAAGTTGAAGTGTGCAATTATATACTGCTTTAGTTATTATATAACAGGCAAAACTTGAAATTGACTCGTAACTGAGCCTCATTAATAACCGCTGCTCATCTCTGTCGTTTTCAGATCACTCCCCGAGCCATCAGCGCCCACGCCTACGTGAACGCTGCCTTCGTGATTCCGTTCGACGCGGCCACGGCCAAAATCACCGAGCGTCCGACCCTGCTCTTCGGAGGCATCAACGACAAATTTGTGAGTAGCACATCCCCTGACGCTTGAAGATTTGCGAAGTTGAGCACAGAGTGCATGAGTTCGCATGCACTCGGCTAACACAAGGGCACAGAGTGCCCTTGTGTTAGCCGCTGCTATTTTTCCGTTGCAAGTTTCAAAACACGTTGAGACATTCAGCTTGACTGCTTGCAGTTGTTTCTTGCTGAAGTCGTTGGAGCTTTCAGTGACACAAACCATCTCTGGTGCCCCTCCAGGTGCACGCGGAGAGGACCGAGCGGTATCTGACGGGGCGAATCATCTCTGATGAGGCCACCGTGAAGGGGGCGCTGACCACCCTCCTGGACGAGGTCGAGCCCCACCCGGACCCCGAGCACGCCGACGTCGCCTACAGGAAACGACTCACAGGCAATCTGCTCTACAAGGTGAGATGTGGAGACATCCATCGGTTTGAAACTGAGGGTGAGACGGAAGACAACTCATGAATCACTAGCATGCAATCCTAGTAGGATGTCTCGGTGCCGGAAAGGTTTGCTATAATCCTTGAAAACAGGCGTGCCGCATCAATTTTTTTCTCTCTTGATACTGTAACTAGTTCTTTGACGCCTCAGGGTGCCGGCTGCTGACAACGGAACTCCGAATATTTTCAGGTGATTCTGCATACTCTGGGTGACCGGGTGCCGGTCCGTATGAGGTCAGGAGGTGATGATCTCACCCGTTCCACCATGAAGGGCACCCAGGAGTTCGACACCGACAAGACGCTGTGGCCCGTCAACAAGGCTATGCCCAAGCTGGAGGCGCAGATCCAGACGTCGGGTGAGTGCCCGTCACGATTCACAGTTCACAAACGGTTCATAAACGGCCGGATAGTTGCCGATCACACCGGCACGGTAGCATCGCCAGCCAGACCGTCATATTTAGCCTCATAACTATTCATTGCGATATTCGTCATATGTGTGCGACAACCATTCAGCTTTCACGCTCACAAGCGCGGCGGCACGGGGTCGAATCCTGCAGCGCCACTATCTGTTTGCATTCCTAATTCAGGCTGGAAATGTTTAAAGTGACTGTTGGACGACGGAAGGTACGAGTAACTGAGAAAATCCGAGCCATCGGATGTGGCCAACACTGATCAGCGAATTCCTTGTTTGGTCCACAGGCGAGGCCGAGTATGTGGACGACCAGCCGGACCTGCCCGGAGAGTTGCACGGACACTACGTGCTCAGCACCATGGCCAACGCCAAAATAGACAGTATCGACGCCTCAAAGGCACTGGTAAGCATGGCCGAGCAATGAGCATTCAACTGGATGAAAGAAGGTGCGTTATAGCAAATTGGAGGGCAAAAAGTGGCCTCATAGTTTGAAGTGGTGTTAAATTTCTGTATATTTCGTTGATCGTTCATCGTATGGACGTAAAGAGCACTAGCAAGCGAAGTTGCAGGCATAGACTTTGTTTATTTGTATGTTTTGTTGGGTTAGGCCCTTTGGGTCCAGCAAGATCATTTCAGGGCCATTGACTTTGTCTCAAACAAAGGTAACACTTAAATTTGTTTCAGGCACTGGATGGGGTCCAAGGATTCTTCACTGCTAAGGACGTGGTCGGATCAAACAAATTCGTCTCCATGGCCATGTTCGGACCCCTATTCAACCTCGACATGAACAAGATCATCCCAGAAGAGGTGAGTGGAGCCGGGAGCAGCTCAGCCCTGGTTGTTGGTACCGGTCACTGGTAAGGATTAACAATGCCCGAGCCCATGCAGCCAATCGCACTTCGGTGCAAAATAGAAATTGAAATAAGCACTGCGCTCAACAACAGCGGCTTGTTTTGTTTGTTTTGCTGGGTTAGGCTCTTTCCGTCCAATGAGACCATTGCAGAGCCGGGAGGATAATAGGAATTAGGAGGAGACATTGGTCTGGGCAGGCACCCTAGTGAGTCGCCGGGGCTGAGCTTATCCGTTAGGTTAGGTTAGGACAGGCCGAACAGCCCCCCCCCCCCAACACTCGCTGCACCCGGCTACGGGTGAGCACCCTTGGGAGCAGCGGTGCCGCTTCAAGGGAACAGCCCGCATGAGATAAAATTGCCTGTCCAGCCCGAAGCGAGGGTTGCGGCGTGGAGGAGAAGGATTTGAACATCCTGAGGATGGAAACGACGAACGGGTGGACAACAACAGCGGAGCAACTCAATGTTTTATTCCAGGTATTCGCCGAGGATTCGGTGCGTTACGCCGGCCAAGCGATCGGACTGGTGGTGGCCGACACGAAGGCGATCGCCCGCAGAGCCGCAGCACTGGTCAAGGTGGAGTACACGCAGGTGGCAGCACCGGTCCTCAACATCCGGGATGCTCTGAAGACGCAACCCGAAGGGTGGAAACAGACCACCTTTGCACCGTTCTGCGTGAACACCGGAGATGCAGAAGGTAAGAAGGTCATATTAACCACGAACCAGGTCAATCTTGGACTTCCGAACAAGTGGCCAAATTAACACCAATCAATGCCGTAAAATTATTCCCCTTGTTTTATCTATCTGCTGCTGTCAATGAAACATTCACCAAACCTGGGAACGGACAAGAGAACCACCCCGAACCGCTAACATTCCAACATGGTGGAGGCATCGCTGTGGATTAAACTGTCTCGGGTTCACCGAGCTGAGTTCTAGTGCCTAGAGCGTCATTATAGCCTTCATTCATGTCGCATCAATAGCTGCTGTCAGTCTATGTCACTGACCGAGAACCACCCCCACCGTCACTCGTCTGTTCGCCAGCGGCGATGGCGTCCGCGCCGCGGCGCGTGAAGGGCGAGTGGGAGATGGGCGGCCAGTACCACTTCACCATGGAGCCTCAGACTGTGCGCGTCATCCCCTGCGAGGACGGACAGCTCAACATTTACAGCGCCACGCAGGGCATCAAACACGTCGTGGACGCAGTGGCTGACGTCGTCAACGTTCCTGCACACAAGTCAGTCCGTGGGCAATGGGCGAGTCGATTAAATCCTTGAAAACATCCGGGATAGAGTTAGGAAGTTGCACAGCTCTCTGTAAGCTCACCTTCGCGTCCTCTGATCAGAGAAGATGCTGTTCTATCACCAATAAATGTTCCTTTTTACAGTTTCATTTTCAAGAAGGTGAGATCGTAACACATCCGTCTTTATACTCGTATATTCTCATTATACCCAGGATCAACGCCGAGGTTCGCCGTATCGGTGGTGGCTACGGAGGAAAGATCAGCAACCCCATTCCCATCGCAAACGCCTGCGCCGTGGCGGCCACCAAGCTGAACAAGCCCGTGCGAATGGTGCTCGACATCGAGAATATGATCGAGATGTGCAGCGGACGGTTCCCGTTCTTGATTAAGTATGAGGTGAGATCACGGTATTGTCGACCACCACTTATTTACTGCTCTCCGTTTCGTAATGAAATCGTTGTCAATGCATTTTCTCCTTTTTAGGGTCACTGGTGAGACAAAATGCAGAGTTATTAAAACTAAAATTACATATATCAGCTTATTCGCAGTCACACAAGTATGCACTGGTGTTACTTGATTCATTCGCCGTTTCTTTTCCAGGCCGGGTTCGACGACTCCGGCAAGCTTCTGGCGCTGAAGATGCACTTCATTACCAACAACGGCTACACGTCGTCGATCCTGAGCGCGCTGGAGCTGCAGGAGGTGATGCACATGGTGACCAGCGTCTACAACACGGACAACTGGAACGTGACGGGCGGCTCGGTCTTCACCCACCTCAACATCAACACCTCCTGCCGCGCGCCAGGTACCGATTAACATCAAAAGCCACGTGTCTGACGCATTTATAGACTGCCGGAACGCTCGACGTTCAACGCCTCTGGGATTTCCTTTTTTTTTGCCTGATTATCGACAGTAAACGATTAAATCGACAGAACAATAACCATCAGAGGTTTTCAAACGACAGTCGACACATGTGTCGGTAAAGCGTTGCCCATTTAGGGTGATGCCTCCGAAGCGGTCAAATTCGAATGTCACAGCGATTAGAGTCTCGAGACGATCTTCTTGTCCGTCCCCAGGTTCGGTGAACGGCGTTGCCGGTATCGAGATGGTGATGAACCGTATCGCTCACGAGCTCAACATGGACCCGTGGGAGGTGCGACGGGTCAACTTCGTCATGGGACACGGCAATGATCCTAAGTAAGAACACGATGGTTTCAAAGTCGTTGGCATTTTGTATTGTATTCATGTGATGAACATGAATATTGCGAAGTTTTGGTTCATGTAATACTTTTCCACGCGGGACGAATGAGTTGCGGCACAGTATACCTTGCAGCGCTTATAACACAGTAACCCTGCTCAAAACAAAACAAGTTAAAATGCTACGACAGGTTTCTCTTTCCAGTGCAAAAGCAACAGCGTGCAAACTAGACGATGAAAGTTCAGTTTGTATAGAATTACGACTTTACCAATATTTAGAAAGCATAAGGCTATCTCTACAGAAATGACATTTTGAAGTCATTTTCAAGAAGGGTTTCATCACATTGCAGCAATACAATGTATTTTTTATATATATATATATATATATATATATATATATATATATATATATATATATATATATATATATATATATATATATATATATATATATATATATATATATATATATATATATATATATATATATATATATATATATATATATATATATATAGTCTACAGTCTACAGTCGACATACGCCTAACGACTCCTATCCAACTCTCCCAGACCTCCCATGGTACCCAACGACGAGAAGGTGTTCTCCATGATGGTGAAGGAGATGGAAGAAAAGGGCGAGATCAAACAGAGAAAGGCCGACATTGCGACCTTCAACAAGGTAAGTGAACAATCTACAACCCGAACAAGCCATTAGTACTTCCACAAACTCCTTCATGTGGTATTATGTATATCGTAAGAACCAACAATCGGTAAAGTCAGACATGCGACGGCGGACCGTGCAACTCATAATTTTCACTAACGACTACAGTTAAAATATAACTAAAAAGTAAACAAAGTTGTTGTATGGTGAGCACTTGATGGTTAGGTTAGGACGCAGTCATATGAAAACATGAAATATTGAAAGCATCACTGAGTTAACCTTTCGCTGGTCTATCGTTTGCCGTTCGCAGAACAACCGCTGGCGGAAGCGCGCGCTGTCGCTGGTGCCGCTCAACTACCCGGTGGCGCTGATCATGAAGCACCCGGTCCTCATCTCCATCTACGACAAGGACGGCACGGTGGCCGTCTCACACGGAGGAGTCGAGATGGGACAGGGACTCAACACCAAGGTGGGTACATAGGATAGAGACTCGGCAATAAGGTGGGTTCATGGGGCAGAGACTCAACACCGAGGTGGGTATAGAGGACAGGGACTGAGAATATAAAGTTGGATAAGTAGATGCAGGTTGGATGTCAATTATTCCGCCGACACGATAAATCTTTAAAAGGAATGCATATACGGTCGGCGGGAATCGGGATATGGCCAAAATATAATTAAAAATCGAGCTGGCTAAACCGATTAATCACCCAGGATTCGATACGGAAAGCAATTCACCGACGCCATTGTCTTGTGTTCTCAGGTGGCCCAGGTGTGCGCCCGCGAGCTCGGCGTGCCCCTGGAGCTGGTCTCCGTCAAACCCAACAACAACCTGGTGAATCCGAACGGCGTGGTGACGGGCGGCAGCGTGGGCAGCGAGATGTGCAGCATGGCTGCCAAGATGGCCTGCGACCAGCTGAAGGAGCGTCTGCAGCCGTTCAGGGCGGCCGAGGGGGAGCCGGAGCGGCCGTGGCAGCAGGTGGTTCAGATGGCGTCCATGATGGGCGCCAACCTTACCGCCCACTCACAGTGAGTCAGCGATCTATCGTGGTTATCAAGATAATTGATAAATGCTGCTGAATAGTGATAACATTGCAGGCTCGGTGCGGCTGGAGCAACAATCATTGAAGGACGGAGTTAAGACTTTGAAACTGAGGAGACGTGCATTTCAGTCGGCTAAATTCGTGATGTTCGGGTTGTTCGACAATGGCACATTAATTCATTGCGCTTTTAAAATCATAGAAGGTTTGCCGTTTCTGAGTTTGAAAATCAATGCCGATTCTTGTTAGAGGAATCGCAACAAAAAAAAAAAACTGAATCCCCATCGACGAACGCCTTCACCGCCCAACCCTTGTCAAACCCCCTTTGTAACCCCATTCATCTCCTCTCCGCAGACAAACCCCGATCATGACTCCGTACATCGTCTGGGGTCTGACGGCGGCCGAGGCCGAGCTGGACGTGCTCACCGGCGAGTACCGCTTCAACCGCGTGGACGTCTACGAGGACGCCGGCAAGGCGCTGTCGCCGCTGGTGGACGTCGGACAGATGGAGGGCGCCTTCACCATGGGAATGGGCGCGCTGCTCTTCGAACAGTTCCGATACGATCCGCAGACAGGACGGAGAATCACCAACCGCGCCTGGGTAAGTGGGAAAAATAGACGAATAATTCGCGACAAACAAGCATTATCATAGAGGGAAAATCTTGACAAGCGTTAAGTTACATCATTCATGAAAATGAGTTTTTGGTTGTTCGAGGCGCACTTGAATGAGCAAAAACGCCGCACTTCAAGTTTTCCAGCCATATGTGTCACACATTGCTCGTACGTTTTTGGAGCCATATGCCGTGACCAAAGTTGCATGCTGGCAAATAGCACAATGTTTCTTCCTTTTCTCCAGAACTACTACCCGCCGACGCACAAGGACATGCCACGCGACTTCAGGGTGAAGCTGTTGAAGAACAACGTCAACGACTTGGGCATCTTCAACTCCAAAGGTCAGCTGATAAACCCATTAAGCGATCATCGATTCACTGCCTTACCCCTATGAAGGTATGCATAGTTTTGTTCAAGCTCCGACTATGCGGTACCTGCTTTGTCAACTGACATCACTTTATTATTTGACCTGACCTGACCTAACCTGACCCACAGCTACCGGGGAGCCGGCGGTATGCATGGCCAATGCCTGTTTGATGGCACTCCACCAGGCGGTCATCGAAGCCAGAAAGGACGCCGGACTCACTGAATGGCTCCACCTCAGTAAGTTGACTCTACTAATTTAAATAGACTTTCATTCATATGCCGTGAAAGTCCTGAGCTTAGCCATGTTTCACTTACAAGTACCGTCATAAAGACTTCTGCATTATACGAATTTAGATCCCTGCACGGAACAAAGTGTAAGCTTATCGGACTTTCTTTCTATTTCAGATTCTCCCGGCACTGTGGAATACTCCCAGATGGCTTGCGAAACTTCTGTCGAAATGCTTCGGCTCTCCTAAGCACCATTGGAGGCCTCAGGCCAGGACTAATGGCGCCTGCAGGGAAAGATGGAAGTAGCGCTTCCAGACAACCCGCAGGCAACAAACGAAGTGTCCCTGCGGACTTGCTAGCTGTGTTTGTGTTAAAGTGGTTGAGGGATTAGCCTTAGCTGATTTATCATTGCAATAAGTTAAACGAATTAGAAGCTAGAATAATGAAGAATTAAGTCGGGTTATCTGTGTTGGTGCTGGGGCCTTGCTGCTTCGCTCCGCCTGAATATTTATCACTTATTAGCTGGATCATACATATTTCCCTTCTGCACATACCATCTCGATGTTCGGACGCCAATCTCGTCAATATTTATTAAGGCAGCTATGTGACACATTTTTAAGTGTGTATCGATGTACAATCATTATAATTTCTCTAGGCGTTTGCAGAACGCGTTCTATTGCTTTGGTAGCTGGCCGCCGGGCATGGACCAATGTTAGTTCGATGTATGATCTGAACCGAACCTGTATGGCGTGTCGCAAATACTGTTGCCTCTACATTACAACGATGATGGCAATATTTTGACTGCATGTATGTGTGATATTGAAATTGGTCATCTCCGCCATGGCCCTGTGCCCTTCTATCGAAAGGTGCCAAAGCAATAGATAGCGTTATGAAAGCGGGTTTCCACCCAGTGACTTTTAAGCTTCTTGGTTTTGGTGAACTCGGCGGGAGCCGAAAACGGTGGTGGACTTGTCATAGTGCTCGTCTGGTCGTTCACCACAAGAAGTTTGGTGAGTGATTTTTACATGCATGCTCGGGTAATTTGACAAATATACGACTATTAATTTGTATCTATTATCTGTCAATTAGACACCTTGAGGCAGTTGAATGACGAAATTGTGCAATACAATGTTTATCAAGAATGCAAGAAGTTGCAAACATGGTTTTCATGCAATTAAGTGAAAAATTTATAGTGAGGTAGGTATAAAATCGACAATCGCACACGCGACGCTCACAAATCGGCATTGAAAAACGCAATACTCGTATAAGCCCGCTCTGTGATGCACGGGCCAGTAACCTCAAACGATTTTCGCGAATACCTCAAAAGCAGGTAGAGTAGTGTCACCATTCTCTGACAACTCTTCATTTTTGTTCCGAGTTTACATAGGCGAAATAATAAATGAGTGTATATAGGCGAAACCACAGAACAAATAAAATGAAGTGTAGCAATCCGTTTCAAACATTTCAAATTCGTTGAAGGTGAGCTATAGCTAGTTTGGGCATTGTTATGAATATTATGGTGTTAAAAAAAATGACCTTATGCACATGATGTAATGAAATGAGAGTGAAATAAGACCAAAAAGTATTATAATATGTTTCGACTTGCGACGTCTTTTGAAGACGACGCAAGTCGAAATATATATATATAAAAAAAATATTTCACTGTCATTTCATTGTATCATGTTCATGAACATCAGATCATTTTTTTTACACCATAACATTTCAAATTCCAGGGTTCTCATGGTGTTTTCACATAATCGTACGAGTAATAAACCTATTTTAACTTTTAGCTCTTACGACCGTTTTATTCAACATTTTTGGAGAGATCTCTTCGCCCATTGGTTGAACACTGGACGCTGGTCAGAACGACTGGTCATGGCGCGCTGTGCGCCGGTCGGCCATTCGTCGAGTCACGGCGGAATGTGTGCGCTGAGCACATGGATGCTCTGTCGACACCGCTCGGCGGCCCACAGCCAGCGCAGGGTCGGTCAGAGGTAGTGGAAAAGTACGACCGGTCATGGTGCAAGGCAGAACAATCCAGTCGGGAAGGGACAGAACGCCCGCATCCGACACGTTTACAATAGATATGCAAGCTCAAATGAACAAAACCACAATATAATTCACATATTTTCAATAAAGAACTGTACAAATGACTCAGAATAGTTATCTCTGCTATTCAACCGATATGTTCAATGACGGTTCAATGACATAAGAATGATTATGCGGAATAAAGAAGTGAATGTTATGTTATAGTTTTGTATCGATGAAAAGTCACGTCAGGTCACGATTCCACAATAACAAATAATAGTGGCCCATGGTTTGTCACCGAAACGGTGCTTGATAGGATGTAGCTAACTCATGGGCAATGGGCATCGGCCATCCTATGGAGCTCCGCTGAGCTGCAACAATGATCCGGGCAACAACCTCGTCAAAAATAATGTTTGTAATTCCGTGTGGATGCACTGAGCGACAACGAATGGGTTATATAATCCCAAGATGGCCTCACGCTTGACGCTAACCGATAAACGTTGCGTCTACTCGTAACAACAATAGCTCCGCCACGAATTTGCCGCTTGGTCTAAGGTTGATGCAGGTCAACGGGCTCTTCGTCGGACCCAAAGTCTCGCTATGCACAAACGTCGTTAGCGTGCAGGCATGCAATTACCATGAACGGGCGTCGCCGACCGCCGGGGGTGCCGGAGCGGTTGGGACCGGCATAGTGGTGAGACAGGCCGGTGAGAGGACCGGCGAATGGTGAGATACTTTGGTGAGAGGACCGGCTCAGCGCGGTGAGAGATCGGTGGTACGAACCGGCACAGTGGGGAGACAGGCTGGTAAGAGGACTGGCGAATGGTGAGATACTTCGGTGAGAGGACCGGCTCAGCGGTGAGACAGGCCGGTGAGAGGACCGACCGCCGCGGGCTGCGGCGTCAGGTGTGCTGGGGGCGAGTCGGGTGGACGGGGACCTGGCTCCAGTGTCTGTCGAGCGTCCGCGCGGAGCACCGCGCGCGGTCGGAGCGCGGAGACAGCTGGAGACAAACGGAGAACCAGGGGACGAACGGAGAGCACAGGAGACCACCGGAGACCACGGCAGCAGTGAGCGGTCAGCCATGGCGGACTGCTGTCTTCCCGGCAGGAGGAAGGGGTCCGGGAAGGACTTCCCGCCTGGAAAACCTCCCATCGAGACGGTCAGGTGAGCAGTTTTGGATAGCTTACAGCGCCCATGTAGCTATATTTGTTTATGACTGTTAAAAAAGGTGCTAAGAAACACTGGCACCGTCCTTGCAGTTCCCCTGAAGATTTGAAATGAGGTATAGTGACAACACGAGGCTGCAGACAATACAATGCCTTCATTTCGCGTAAACGCGTAAAACACAACAAAGTGTTACAAACAAATGTCGAAATAACATTGTGATTTGTGAACCAACTTATAACAAGTTTGATTAAAAACTGCCTAGCGGAGGAAAGCATCACACAAAATTGTATATGCATTCGCTACATTCCAGTTGCCTACTTGCTATGCTACGTCGTCCCGCATCACTTGATCTCGAATGCTCGCTGCTGACAATTCAATCCTGCAACGTTTTATTTGAATAATTGATTTATTACCTACATCAATAATTTTCATTGCATTTCACAAGTTCTTAACAAAGCAGGGAAACCCACAATTAACTTAATTAACTTTCTGATTTATAATGGAGATGCTGCAAAGTGCTTTAAGTACTGACCGCTCTCGGCTCGACTTAACAAAAGGAAATCAAGGCCATTGGTTTTTCATGTTGCTGCTATTTTCAACTGGTAACAGTGGGTTTTACCTAGCGTACGCGGGGTGACCAAAGCTGGACAAATCAGCTTTATATAACACAGATGTTATAACCGGTAAAGGTTTGGTTTATTATCAGTCATGATGTTATTGACGGCCATGACTGCACGAGTCTGACATTGCATGTAACTCATCTGACATGCATTTCCTCAAACTGCGAGGTAGTAACAATTTTCTGGCTTGCCAATTATGTAATGTTGTTACGGGAAACAACATCTCTAACCTTGAATTTAATTGCTTGCTCGCTAGCCGGGTGTCTACTTTTTGCGCTCTGAGCTCCCGTCTAGCCGCGGACGGTCCCGGGACCCTGTTTATGTTGCTGCACGGAGACGATTTCCTGCAGTTTTACGATGGGTCACAACACGTGACACCTGGCTACTGTCACCACAGGTATGCCAGCGAGGCTTCGATAGAGGAGGACATCGCGGCTGTCACGCTCGCCGTCAACAGCGAACAGCACCAAGGTGAGAAACACATCAACAGCGAGCGAACTCGGCGAGAAAAATACCGACTCAGTGGACAAACTGGGTTTTACCTGCACTGATACGTCAATAGACCCATTCCTCGTCTTGTGGTGTAGGCATTTTTAGGTATTTCACGAAACTATTCGGTGCAAACAAAAGGTGGCCATTAGTCCGAAGAAATCAAGTCCGATAAACAAACAGAATGTCCACAGTTCAATACCAAACATTGTTCGAAAAGTCGCAGACGGTACATACCAAACTGCTCATCTAGTTCGGCCATTTTGAGGTCCAAACAGTTACGCATCCATGCAAAAAAGCGTCGATTTTTATTGGCCATTCTCGATAAAGAACGGTTCTTATAAAGATGTATCTCCAAGACTCCATTCTCCAGTACGAAAACTTCAAGAGTCCTTCGTGGATAGTTGGTAAATTGAAATGCATAATTTCGCTCAGTTTCAGTAAGACTGCACAAAACGTGATAGGTAGCTAAAATGTGCCATGAACCAAGAGCCTTGTAGTTATATGATCACGTCCAATATTGATACCAACCTCGGAGAAGCATTTCCCGCACTTTCTATTGCGACTCGGGAATAATGGCTCCAGCCGCGCGCCTCTCGCGGGCGGCGGACTCGGCGTCTGGGGTCGCGCTGGCCTTGGCGCTAGGGCACAGCTCCCAGTTCGGCCCTGGGCCACCGCCGGAGCCAATTCACCATGAGTCAGCAGGTTTGGGGCCGAGGTTTCACCTGGGGGCGAGGCCCGCCACACGGCATATAAATGATGGCCAGCCAAAGTGATAGTCATGAGAATCTGCCCGATAGTCGGTAGGTAACAGGGTTGACTGCCGGAAATCGCTGGCAGAAATAGGAAAGAAAGAAATAAGAGATAGAAGAAGTGCGAGAAAAAAGATGTAGAAAGTACAGTCCACAGCAGAAGTAATGTGTGGTTTCAGTCATGGGTATGTTCTGCTTCTGAAGCTAAGGAACGATTAGCCAGACTACAATGAAAATTTGAATGTAGCTTATATGTATCATCACCCTTGCAGCTGCAACTTTAGCTATTGACATTTTTTCGATCACTCCGCATTAAACAGTCGCCAGTCAAAGCCAACCGTTGAGATTGGTAAAACCCTACATTACTTTAGCGGTGAGCTGTACATGAATCAGCTGCTTCCCCCGATGACAAATAAAAACAGCATTATTTTATCCATTTTTCTTTGAGATGTGACATACGAACTGTCGCATTTGGTTATGCAACAAACGGGTATCGAATTCCTATTACGTAACTAATCGTTATATTTGTCTTCATGCTGCACAGCCATCGTCACTACATCGCCTCACTCGCATCGGTACAATGATCATCGCTTATCACCCATCAGCCTACCAACGCACCCGTGACCGACCCTTCTGCCCTGACCGCAGTGCTGAGGCGGGACCTGCGCGATGGCGGAGTACCCACGGATGTCACCCCGACCACGACGCTGGCCGACTACCTGCGACAGTACCAACAGCTGCCCGGCACAAAGACCATGTGTCGCGAGGGCATGTGCGGCGCCTGCGTGGTCAACGTGACCTCTGTGAACCCGGCCACGGGTCAGATGGAGAGCCGCGCCGTCAACTCGTGTATGGTGCCGCTCAAGGCCTGCCACGACTGGAAAATCGAGGTGCGAATTAAAACTCAGTACTCACTCACTCGGCAATGCGCTACCATATGAACTCCTGGCCGATCCAACTTTCATCTGCATACCGCATGACCATGCACATAAGTTGGGCCATAGTAAACCAAATTATTACAAATGCATTCAAATATATTCAAAAAGACACACAAAGCTTTCGGTTCATGGAACCTTGATCACTGTGCAAATGAGTATATCGCTGTAACCGTCTAATTATTTACATCATCATCCAACCTGTCATGGATACTCAACATTGGGCCATAGACATTCCGTTCACGGGGCATTCCACGTCAAGTGGGACAAAAAATGACGATTTTGAACCTCACCTCCTCCGATTTTTGCGAAACTTTGTGAGCCTTTCATGTATATGTGAAAAGAGAGGAGACATTTTTTTTGTCAAAATATGACGTCACTTTTCCGAGATATACGTCATCAAACATTGACTTCGGCAAGGCACATTATCATCTTTAAAGCGTCATAACTTTTAAAGTTTTGGACATATCACCACGCGACAAAAATTGAAATGGAGGGAATAGATCAGGCTTTAATTTGAGGATCACAATATGGACGTCATTAACTAATTAGTCAGCATAATTAAAATTCAAAAAATAAATTTTGAATTTCTGAAAAATGGGTACCCTTCGATTTTGCTGATTTTTACATATTTTATTCTCTCATACATTAGCTACTTCATATGCAAATTTCAGAATGGGCCGACGTCTACGTAACTGTCTTTTGGACTTCGAAATGTCTGGCACTCGCGCGTTTCGTTTTAGCAACCAAGGAGAGGCGCTACGCGGAGATGGTTCTTTCTACCTTAATCAAACCAAAGCAAACCTAACCTGACCTGACCTGATCTAATCTAACACGCGTAAATATGTATAGCCCTCACGGCAGTTGCCGGCTGGCCAAATGCTACTTAGTTATGATACGAACACTATAAAACAAAAATGAACGCGTGTTAAAACACTTAGGCTGACCGGCCGCGAGCCAGCGACCTATAGATTACGAGGTGGGTACACTCGGCACACTAACTACTAAGCCACGAAGGTAGCTGGTCATCGCTGAGCTGTAAGCCAGTTTTTTAATGATGCAATTGAGCATTCTCCGGGCAGCGCCTCTCTTTGGTTGCAAAAAGGAAATACGCCTGACTCTCCCAGCGCTAGGGGAGAAAGGCCCGGTTTAGTCAAAAAAGGATATTAAAAAAACGGAATTTGAATTGTAGGTGGGGAACTTTATCGTGTGCCAATTTCATAGCCCTAGGTCAATATCTTCAAGATCAAATGAGGTTAAACGTGATCAAATTTGCTATGGTGACTATTTTGCGTTTATACGCCCATACTCTAAGAGTTAATGGCCGATTTTCCTATTTCTTCCTTTATACGACATTTGTAGTGTTATGAGAATCTCTTGCTAATCTAACCATAAATTTGGCAGTTATTGGCCTGCTAAGAGTAAGATGTCGCCGGCAGAGGCGGGGATCGGCCGACGCGGAAAACGTTTCATTCACAGATTGTGTTTGCACCCTAATAATTCAATTTTTACCGGTTGATTTTCGCATGTATTTGACCATTAGATTGCCTGTACATTTTTAAGCCTTCACACAAAATTTGACACGAATCGATCATAATCAGCGGTAAGAAGCGCGGTGCAAAGATGGAACCGTCCCGCGCCGGCACAGTCTACCATTCAGGCGGCAATGGCCGGCGCCGGCCGCCGCGCCGCTCCGGCAGGATGTATGACTTTACAATGCTATTACTAGAAAAGTTGTGGACCGATTTACCTATTGCTTGCACGGGAGAATCTGCAATTCAATTCTGGACAGATACTGAAAGTTTGACGTTAATATAATAATTATGACGTGAGTTATTGGCGAAAAACAGGTGGGGTTGGCGAGATCCGCCCCTTTCACCGGCCGTGCTACGTTGCACTACTTGTTGCTATATCATCCAAAGTTATTGTTGGCCCACTCTAATTTTCTCAGCACGTGTGCCTTACGTGTAGTGGAAGACAATATCTAAATTTGAACAAAATCGAAGGGTACCCATTTTTCACAAATTATATTTTAAGAAATTAATTCAAAATAAAATAAATTCAGAATTTTCAAAATATGTTAAAACTGCCAAATTTTGCTAGTATAACTCCTGATGTATACGTTCCAGTTTGTTTGAAATTAATAGCTTCAAAAATGTTGAAGCTGTAGATCTTTCAAGATTGCAGTACACGTCCAATTCTGCTAAAAAAGCAGAAGTTTAGCGGCTTGTATCTCTGTAGCCCGAGGGCATATGACAAAATCCTTTCACCCTCAGAGGTTTCACCCAATAGGCAATAAGTATACCAAGTTTGAACAAAATCGCAGAGGTGACCGATTTTGGCTGTCCCGGTTGACATGGAATGCCCCTCACCGAACATACAGTGAGCTTCGAACTTTGAGGTTATGAAAAAGCAAACCTAAGGGCTGTTCACGACGTCGGTTTATGTGGTTTACATAAACTGCCCTCGGGGCACGTTCCCGGCTGTGACGTCACACGGCCTTTACGTTTACGAAACACAAGTGTTTACTTAAACAGTGACAACTAATAAGCAGTTGAGACGATGCTGTAAAAGGTGCAAAGAAAAGAAAATCTGATGGAAATATGTCCCATATCATGACATATTGCAAGAATAAGGACAGTTTTCATCACAAAATACCCACGACGCTAGACGCTGGTTAGCAGAGAACGATGCTCAAAATAGGTCTTAATTTCAATGAAATAATAAAACCTACCATTCCAGTCCTCTGCAATCCGTACAGAGTTATTTTGAAAGTCATTTGCCCATCTACCAGCCCCTGAACTGTCCGAATTCAATTTTCCTAACTCACAACTCTCCTCACGAGTTTGCCGCACATCGCCATCATTGTCACATAAACGCGTTTACGCGCCATGTTGATGCTCTGAGGCATCAACCGCATAAACGGTTTGCGGCGGAGGTCTGACGTCATTGACGAGATGTGACGTCAGGATCAGGTCGACGCTGATTGGTCCTTCAAAAAATAAACATGTTTACGGTTTATTAAACGGGATAAACCGACGTCGTGAACAGCCCTCTAATATAGCTAACGCTTTAGAATGGCAACTCCAAAGCAAGATAAAATGCTTTGCATCGTTTCAAATCAAGGGCCATGATATCGATGGTCAGCTAGACTAATAGGCCTTGAGTTATAGCCAGGCCTTTACATAATTAATGCACTTCCCAGCTCCTAGTCCAACATTTTAATCTGACATTCCGATGGTTTACCCGCAGACGGTGGAGGGCATCGGGAACCGTAAGGACGGCTACCACCCGGTGCAGGCGAGGCTGGCGCAGATGAACGGTACTCAGTGCGGCTACTGCAGCCCGGGAATGGTCATGTCCATGTACAGGTAATGGACCAGTAATTACACTCAGTGCGGCTACTGCAGCCTAGGAATGGTTATGTCCATGTTCAGGCAATAAAACATGGTCAAGCAAGATGCCTCCAAGAAAGACGAAGACGAATTTTATGCAAAGCTTTCCATTGCTATTCTACTCGTATTTGCCGCCAATTTCCATCCGACACTTGTTCGCCAAAATCGAGAGCTAAATGTTATCACTTACCTGTCGCTGAACTACGAGTTGTAAGGTTGCACTTACGTCTAACGCTGTCTGTTTTTGCGCTTTTAGTCTGCTGAAGAACGGTGGGCAGGTTACCGAGGAGCAGGTGGAACAGGCGATGGACGGCAACCTCTGCCGCTGCACCGGCTACAGGCCAATCCTGGACGCCTTCAAAACGTTTAAAGTCGACGCCGACGAAAAAACAAAGAAAATCGTCAGGGATATTGAGGTATGGAATCAAGATGTCGATTGCAGTGCTATGTTTTGCCAAGGATGCGTGTCAATAAAACGTGTCACGCCATTTCTCTTATGCGACGACTTTTCCGAAATACTGGCAACTGGCAACTGGCAACAATCCTCCGATTGTTTGATGTATGTCGTTTTCTCAGGAGGCGAGCGGCTGCCATGGCAACAAGCGTGGCCCGTGCCAGTCGACCGGCTCGGCGTGCGCCGGCTGTCCGCGGGCGTCGATGACGGCGGCCGATGACGACTGGCGTCTGCCAACGTCGCTCCAACAGGCCATCACCGACCTCGAGGCCATGTCCGTCGGCGGCAAGACCATCCGACTGGTGGCCGGAAACACTTCCACGGGTGAGATGAGAACGCCGTTCAGATGACCTTATCGATATGCTCGAGAGATTGAGCTTCATTATCCGTATGACTTGTGCAATGTGCAGCTCCATGTCTTACCAAGAAACTTCATGTTATTTCGCTATAACACCCGTTACCTCGTCTGCCCAGCGCCTGCCTGTCCATGACCATTCCCCCGTTGGCTCCCTGCAGGCGTGCTGGACAAATACGAGGCGCCGTCGGACGGCTACATCTCTCTGCTGAAGATCCCCGAGCTGCGCGTCATCAAGCGGCCCGGCGAGAAGGCTTCCAAGTGGACTCCCCGCTGGCAGCTGCCTGGCGAGACTAAGGGCGCTGTGTTCGGCGCCGCCGTCACCCTCTCGCAGTTCATCAAAGAGCTGGACCACCTCAGCGGAACTCCCGGGTACCGCCACTGCGCTCAGATGGCCAAACATCTCCGGGTGGTGGCCAACACGCCCGTCAGGAACGCCGCCACCTGGGCCGGCAACCTGATGATCAAGTACAAGCATCGGGACTTCCCGTCCGATGTCTTCCTGCTGCTGACTGCGGCCAAGGCCAAACTGAAAATCGGTGAGTTGTTTTGATACCATACAAATGCATATCCAAGATGAAGCACGATAAATACATCATTTTCAGTCATATAAAACTTAGACAAATAATCGTCCTCGTGAGGAGTGCAACGATTTTTATGGGTTTTGTTAAACTCACGGGTAGATAAGCCGAGAGATTCACCTAGACATAATGAGATTGATTGTTGTGAGTAAGCTGTTCAATTAAATAGGAGGTTTCAATTAAATAGGAGATACTGGAGCCAATGCTTCCTCGTATTCCAGTTGAAGGCAAAAATGCAGAGGAGATGTCGGTAGAGATGATGTACAACATCAGCATGAAGAACAAGTTCATCGTGTCCATGACGCTGCCGCCTATCGACGAAAACAAGTACATCTTCAAGACGTACAAGGTAGCTACGTCTTCATTCTATGCATCTACCCACAGTGATTGCAGCTCTTTCCCTTACCTTTGTTGTAAAGCGTCATTGCTATGTTATTTGTTGAAGAACAATTGAATCTTTTTGGCTACAATTTTGAACAACCTTCTTACATTCGTCATCTAACAAAATGTGAGGGATTTGATTGATAATCCTGGGCAATCAAACGCACTTGAGCTCCCGTTTTCCCTAATTTTGTCCTATGCAAGCTAACATCTCTGTCGATTTTGTTTGCAGATCACTCCCCGTGCCATCAGCGCTCACGCCTATGTGAATGCGGCCTTCGTGATTCCGTTCGACACGGCTACGGCCAAAATCACCGAGAAACCCACTATCCTGTTCGGCGGCATCAACGACAGATTCGTGAGTGGACCCATGTAACTGCAATACGTTTTTTAGTACCTGGCTTGGTCACGATATCTAATATCAATGATGATCGACACATTTCATATTAAAAAAATACCCAATCAACCAATGCCTCGCTGTCACTATGATCATGCCTAGCTATAATTGCAAAGTACAAATGCGGCTGTGGGCAAATCTATGTCCCCGTCAGGCGACTGTCCGCTAACATGACATAGCCGCAGTTTGCTTGAAATAGACGAACACTATTCGTGAGAATTGTGCTTCTCAATTAAAAAAAAAACGGAGCAGTCTTCGTAACACCGTCCGCCGACCCGACAGGTGCACGCGACAAACACAGAGCGCTACCTGACAGGCCGCTCACTGATGGCCGAGGCCACTGTGAAGGGAGCACTGACCACCCTCCTGGACGAGGTCGAGCCCCACCCGGACCCGGAGCACGCCGATGTCGCCTACAGGAAACGACTCACAGGCAATCTGCTCTACAAGGTGAGATGTGACACTGAGTCGACTTCCATTTGCTGTTTTGATTAATTTGGATGGCTTTATTGGTTTCTGCAGTCTTCACGCATGAGGCTACGGTAGACAAGTGTTGTAACGTTTAATTTTCGTAAGCTTGCTACAACATGGGCAGCTTAGACATTTTCGTATTCCCCATTATGAAAAGAAAGAGCTTGCATTCAATTTAAAGGAACTGTGTGGCATGACGAGGTTGACCACCACCCAGTCCCTTTATCGGGAAACAAACAGCTGACCTGTCTTAGTTTGATTTCATTTTACATGTCAAAGAAAAGTACAACATTTATTAGAACAGTCTATTTATCTCCAGAAATCTCAAGTGTCGTTCGAAAATACATCGGCTTACACAAATTGCATTGTTTTCTTCCTCAGGCGATCCTGTATACTCTGGGTGACCGTGTGCCGGTCCGCCTGAGGTCAGGAGGTGATGACCTCACCCGCTCCACCATGAAGGGAACCCAGGAGTTCGACACCGACAAGACGCTGTGGCCCGTCAACAAGGCTGTGCCCAAGCTGGAGGCGCAGATCCAGACGTCGGGTGAGATCTATTCATCCATGGAGTTCCTATAATTCCACTGTTGAAATAGTCTGCCTTGATGGGTGGGTGAAGATGACGACTCGCGTAAAAGGAGAAATCCTCCCTGGCTCCGTCATTTAGATAAACATCCCGAAGTTCTCCAGAGTTCTCAAGTCATCGTGACACGCAAGGAAATTGCGTTTCCATCGGTTACGGTCTGTTGACCATGTCTTAGGTGAAGAACGCATAGAGATGAAGAGCGCAAGCAATGTCGAAACGAACAGGATATAACTGCCCAGTTGCAGCGTGGGTTACTGAAAGCCGCAATTTCGTCCAGTTCAAATCAAACTCGAATTAAATTGGTAGCCTGTGCGCTGTCTTCAATCATACATGATCGAACACAACTATGAGTCCAATCATATACAGACCCAATACAGATGTTCAAACCAAAACACGTATCCAATACCCTTGTAACAGCCACCGGTTGACTTCACCTCACTGTCTTCCCCACTCATCTCATTCCGTGTTCCCTGTTCTGTTTTAGGCGAGGCCGAGTATGTGGATGACCAGCCGGCCCTGCCCGGAGAGCTGTACGGACACTACGTGCTCAGCACCATGGCAAACGCCAAAATCGGCAGTGTCGACGCCTCAAAAGCACTGGTAAGCACAAAAACTCTAAAATGTATGATACAATCGAACCAATTTATCTACACATCATAGGCACCGAATTGATGTAATATCAAATAACAGCCGCTCCCTTCCATCATGTTTGCGTCAAATCAACCAACGAGAATGTCGAGAAATCCACAAAACGAATGTCTGGTTAAAATATCAGAAAGTAATAGATTTACATTTTTCACTCATGTCGTTATGTTCCAGGCGATGAAGGGTGTTCGAGGATTCTATACGGCGAAGGACATCGTCGGCAAAAACCAGTTTATTTCTCTCTCAATTCTGATACCGATCTTCAGCATCAACCCGCAGCTGATCACACCACAACAGGTACGTGACGCATGATAAAACCATAGCGAATGTCTTCTACTCTTGGAAAATCGCACTGTGTTCATCCGTGAAGCGCGGATATCTTTAACTGATGCCGACGTACTTTTTCAAAATCTCTTTCAAGCAAAGTCAAGTGCGGGGCAAAGTAGAGGGTTTAAAGTACGTGATAGTTAAGTTCTGAGATAGAGATCATGGGTCAACATTGCACAACCGATCGCATCAGATTCTCTGAGCTATAGTCCTAAAGATTGATCCTAACTCCATGAACTTCCCCAGGTGTTCGCCGAGGACATGGTGCGTTTCGCCGGTCAGCCGATCGGACTGGTGGTGGCCGACACGAAGGCGATCGCCCGCAGGGCGGCAGCACTGGTCAACGTGGAGTACACGCAGGTGGCAGCACCGGTCCTCACCATCCGGGACGCCCTGAAGACGCAGCCAGACGGCAGGAGACAGAGCGCCTACTGCCCGCTGAACGTGGTGACCGGCGATACAGACGGTAAGTTCTACAGCTCCGCACATTTCTGCTGCATAAAATAATGGGAAGTCTGACTGAAGAGTACGCTCACGTGATAACATCAAACGGTGCAGACTGCAGGTGCAGTGATCCCGTCGAGGGTCTGTGTTTCCACACGACTGCCTCAACTGATTTTCTCAGCTACCTGTTCATCATGTTCTCCAACCGTGTCTTTCCTCCTCCAGCGGCGATGGCGTCCGCGCCGCGGCGCGTGAAGGGCGAGTGGGAGATGGGCGGCCAGTACCACTTCACCATGGAGCCACACACGGTGCGCGTCATCCCCTGCGAGGACGGACAGCTCAACATCTACAGCGCCACGCAGGGCATCAAACACGTCGTGGATGTCGTCTCGGACGTCGTCAACATACCGGCGCACAAGTGAGTTCAGAGGAAAATGAGTACATAGCCTGAGACCTTGTCACTTGAAGACCTCAGTGACAAGGTCCTCAAGCTTGGACGTTGTTGACGTTCACTTGCTTTTACTAAAGCTCACTTTCTAAATGGACTTCTGAGGCAAACTATTCAAATTTTCTCAGGAGCCTGCGAAGTCTCAGCCAACTCGTCCTATTATCAACAATCTTCTTCGTGGCTAGGTGTGATTTTCTCGTGTCAACAGCACGTTCTGACCAATCTTACCCGCCAGGATCAACGCCGAGGTTCGTCGTATCGGTGGTGGCTACGGAGGGAAGATCAGTAACCCCATTCCGATCGCAAGTGCCTGCGCCGTGGCGGCTACCAAGCTGAACAAGCCCGTGCGAATGGTGCTCGACATCGAGAATATGATCGAAATGTGCAGCGGACGGTTCCCGTTCATGATCACCTACGAGGTGAGTGAAGCTCCCCTTGGATCTCTGACACGGGCATTGAACATTCTTTTGCATTTAAGATTGTATAATATTGAATTGAACATTTAACATTTAACATTTAACATTGTTAACATTGCATTGTTAAATTAACATTATTCCACGCAATTGTAAAGGATTACACACACCACCAGATGAAGTAAGCTATCGCATGTGTGCATGTCTTACCACACGCGACAATTAATCCTCCTCTTACTTCCAGGCTGGTTTTGACGACACCGGCAAGCTGCTGGCGCTCAAGCTTCACATGATCACCGACAACGGATTCTCCATGTCCACACTGGGCTTCCTGGAGCTCCAGGAGGCACTCAGCGCAGTCAGCGCCATCTACCGCACAGACAACTGGAACGTGACGCCCGGCACGGTCAAAACCAACTTGCCCATCAACACATCCTGCCGCGCACCCGGTGAGCTGGTGTCGATTTCGGTATCGATGTTGACCGTGACGTGAGACCATCAACGTTAGTAAATGTAACCACGATTGTGACTGGTAGCATAAGTTAGGAAGCACACGTTAATATGCATGCACATGCGACGCCCGCACAAAGCATTGCACGGCCACCCTATGACATGACGCAACTTCCATTTGCCGTTTCTAGGCACGATCAACGGTTTCGCGGCGATCGAAACTGTGATGCGTCACATCGCCCACGAGCTCAACATGGACCCGTGGGATGTCAAGAAGGTCAACTTCGCGCTGGGATCCGGAGCAACGCCGCCGTGAGTACCACTGCGGAACCTCTTATCGGATAGTATGCATTTAATTTCAGATAAACGCGCATCATCACAAGGCACTGACTTTCACGTAGACATGCCACCAAGATGTTAACTGAACCAGACACTTGATTTCATTGAGAAATGCCATCTGTGTTACGGCTATCGGCTGCATTCAATCACTGACCATCATATTCATTTTCAGGCCACCACTCACACCCAACGATGAGAAGGTCTTCTCCATGATGATCAAGGAGATGTTCGAAAAGGGAGATATTGACGCGCGCAAGGCCGACATCCGCACCTTCAACAAGGTAAGGACGCGAACAAGTTGAAGCCAGCGGACTTAAAGTCGTGACAAGTGCTTTGAAGGTTAGGTCAGGTGGGTTTGCAAAGCGTCTACTAAAGTGCGACTGCGACTCTCCGTGATGATGTCACTGTATCTGCCTCCCGTCCACAGGCCAACCGCTGGCGGAAGCGCTCGCTGGCGCTGGTGCCCATCTCCTACCACATTAACCTGGCGTTCCGGTATCCGGCGCTGGTCTCCATCTACGACAAGGACGGCAGCGTGGCCGTGTCGCACGGAGGAGTGCGACTAAAGTGCGACTGCGACTCTCCGTGATGATGTCACTGTATCTGCCTCCCGTCCACAGGCCAACCGCTGGCGGAAGCGCTCGCTGGCGCTGGTGCCCATCTCCTACCACATTAACCTGGCGTTCCGGTATCCGGCGCTGGTCTCCATCTACGACAAGGACGGCAGCGTGGCCGTGTCGCACGGAGGAGTCGAGATGGGACAGGGCATCAACACCAAGGTGGGTACAAGGGGCAGGACATCAACATTCAACGCCTCGGTGGTAGTCTCCCACGTCCATTCGCGACGTGTGGATACCGTATACCTCTTGAGCCTTCGTTATCGCCGCCAATCATTGGTAGATAACTTATCCTGAAGTTGTGGGACCAAGGAATGGTGTCAAAAAACGTAGAACCATGTAATATCACAAATAACAAGTAGTAGAAAAGAAATGTCCCAAGTTAAAAATTCAGGACACTCTGCGGCAGCAAGCCGAAATCATTCATCGAACGTGTTCACTACGGTCCAGACGTCTTACTTCACCTGGGTTCATTGAGCACCTACTGAACCATGAGACCCTTTCCACGTCCACAGGTGGCGCAGGTCGTGGCCCACGTGCTCGGCGTACCTCTGGAACAAGTATCCGTGAAACCCAACAACAACCTGGTGAACCCGAACGGCGTGGTGACCGGCGGCAGTCTGGGCAGCGACATGAACTGCATGGCCGCGCGGCTGGCCTGCGAGGTGCTCCGCGAGCGCCTGATGCCCTTCATGGCCGAGGGACGGCCCTGGCTGCAGGTGGTGCAGTATGCCTCCGGCAGCGGCGTCAACCTCAGCGCGCACTCGCTGTAAGTGGACCTCTACCTCTAAAACCTCTGCAACATTTACCATTTCTTACTGCGAGGAGACGCCCCAAATTAATCATAACCCAATATCAAACGATTAAAGAAATGCCGTCTAACAATTAAACAAGGTTTAAAAGCAGAATTCTTCGACTTGTTCCGTGACTTAGAAAAAATAATTCAGGCCAAATGAATAACAGCTCAGCCTTCGGTTCACTGGTTCCTTCCACCCCTGCAGCCAGCCGCCGACGACCAACCGCTACTCGGTCTGGGGTCTGTGTGCGGCCGAGGCCGAGCTGGACGTGCTCACCGGCGAGTACCGCTTCAACCGCGTGGATCTCTACGAGGACGCCGGCAAGGCGCTGTCGCCGCTGGTGGACGTCGGACAGGTGGAGGGCGCCTTCACCATGGGAATGGGCGTGCTGCTGTTCGAACAGCTCCGCACGGACCCCAAGACGGGCAGGAAGGTCACCAACCGCGCCTGGGTGAGACACAGAGGAGAGGAGCGACGGGGTTTCGGTGCTTTCTCATACTATAGACTCACCAGACGCTGGATGAGTGATTGATGTTACAAATGTCCTGAAGTGAGGCACCAGGTTTCAAAAGTCATGAAATAAGCGTTTTTTTTTTTTTTTACCGCAGCCGTAATCTCCTAATTAATCTTGAAAAGTGCCACAGTAAACACAAAGAATGCAAAAGTCCACTTTTCTTCTTGAATGGACTAATAACGTCTCTTCTGTTGTCCCATTTCAGAACTACTACCCACCGACGCACAAGGACATGCCGCGCGACTTCAGGGTGAAGCTGCTGAAGAACAACGTCAACGACGTCGGCATCTTCAACTCCAAAGGTAGGTAACGACGGTTGGAAGGGCTGATCGGATCGCTACATTAAAACGTCCTTACTTTCACAACATAATAATAGCTCGTGACATGCTTCAGAAAAGCTATTTCAAGAATGGGCAACTCCCATATGTCATTTTTCGTTTATAAACAAATCAGTTGAAATGAATTCAAAAACGGAACTGCCCTCATACCACGAGGACAACCATAATTGTCTTCCCAAACAAACTACGCAAACTACCCGATCTGACCTGACCTGACCTGACCTGACCCACAGCCACGGGAGAGCCGGCGTCCTGCATGGCCAATGCCTGTCTGATGGCCCTCCACCAGGCAGTCGCTGAGGCTAGGAAGGCCGCAGGATTGAAGGACTGGATCACCATAAGTAAGCTTAGATTTACAAATAGGCACATTTTTACCGTTTTGTCGAGCTTTCTCTTTTACGATTCGTTAGCTTGAGCACGCATGTGAATCTGTTTTGGTCTTCATTCACTATTTTTCTTAACGTCCCTTCAATATCACGCCATATCAAAAACACTGGCACGATTTGATCTCCTCCACCCGTGTTTCCGTTTCAGACTCGCCCAGCACGGCGGAGTACACTCAGATGGCCTGCGAGACCACGCCCGAGATGCTGGTCATCACATAGACACGGACGCAGCACGGTTCCACAGCGCTGGAGAGTGCAGAGGTCGCGGCATCGAGACCGGCACAATGAGCAGACAAACAGCATGGCAACGAGACAACGGCCAACGAGCTCGTTGTTGTAAAACTGTCTGAGAGAAACGCGGGAGATCTGAATGACAGGCAATCGACAGGATTGTCGTCATACCACCTTGCTGAGTGTGACCAATGGAAAAGTTGCGATTGCACAATAGCTACGATTGCATCAAGTGACGGACGAATATAGATTCAGGGGTCACATATAAATATCCCATTAATGTCCGTCCACCTTAGACGCTTTGGAGTTCAAAGCAACAGTTATAGCGTAGACATATCTCTATCTTCATTGGTGACAGCAGCGGTAGTACCTAGTTTTCACGATTCGTTCACCCTCTCGTAGCATCTAATCGATCTACCTTTCCTCCCGAACGAAATAAAACATTGCAGATCAGTTACAATGTGACATAAAATATCACTTCTTAGAAGACATGCGTTGCCCAACTATAGCGTTATATTGTGTGTATCTTTGGTGAAGGATTCTTAGATATTGAAGAGATATATTTTGTTTCAATAAACAATATATTATATGAAAGTCTATACGTTTTTATATGTAAGCCATAGACAGATGTGCCACCCCATTGTTTTGTTTTGTTGGGTAAGGCCCTTTTGGTCTGACGAGACCATTTCATAGCCGGGAGGATGATAGGAATTAGGGGGAGCATTGGTCTGGGCGGGCGTCGTATTGAGTCACCTGGGCTGAACCCGCCCCAATGGACAGGCCACCCAGCCCACTGGTACTCACTGCACCCGGCTACGGGTGTGCTCCTATGGGAGCTTCCTCTATCGAATAAAGTTTCCCGTGCAGCCCGGAACAGGGTGTGGTGGAGGCGTGGAGGAGCAGGATGTGACTGTTCTGAGGATGGATACGACGGAACGGCGTCACCTCATGAATTTTATTACAAAGGAAAGCACACACTCATTTCCCAGCACTCAGGAGGCGTAGTCCTAATCGCGACTTTCAACTATCAAGCTCTCGTCATATGTTGTGCAGGTAGTTTCAATTCATGCCGATAGATGTCCTAGAGGCGAAGCGCCTGGCGCCGCCCGCATGCTGTGCCGCACGACAGGTAGTTCGTATCCCAGCCGCTAGATGTCGGGGGCTACAACGCCTGGTGGATGCTGTGCCGCACGGCAGGTAGTTCGTATCCTAGCCGCTAGATGTCGGTGGCTTCAACGCCTGGTGGATGCTGTGCCGCACAACAGGTAAACCGCATTCCAGCCGGTGAATGTCATGGGCATGACGCACGGCAAGTGCTTTTCAAAGCTTGTTGTGATATCACTGTGATGAAAAATGACCTTATGCTCATGATACATAACATGATTAAGCTGAATAAAAATAAGACCCAAGAAATCATTGATATATTTCGACTTGAGTCGTCTTCGAATTCCGAAGACGACGCATGTCGAGATATATCAGTGATTTTTTGTTTGGTCTTATTTCAATTTAACCTAATCATATAATATCATGAGCATAAGGCCATTTTTCATCGCAGTAACATTACTGACGATGCCCAAACATACCATTGCTTACATCCAACGAATTGTTATATTTCTGGCATTGTCTTAAAACCAGCAGTCAGCGCAAGATAGAAACCTTCCTCGATATGCTCCTAGATATTATTATACTTATTCTGACATGCTACCCAGACGGCAAACACAAAGGACACACCAATTTTGTATAGGTAGGTAGAATCATAGGCATTGGGAAATGGCATAGCTGGTGGAGAGAATTGTGTCTTTCAGGCTTTATCCCGGCCATCATAATCTGAGCCAACTTTTGAGCGTTTGTCAGTGTTTCTTTCCCTAATTGTTAGCATTTCCATATGGGAGGTATTTTTATGGAAAATGGGACAAACTTTACTGCCGATAAGACGAAACGGCGCGCAAACTTTCCAGCGGGATTTAATTTTGCGCCGAATCGGGCCGCAACTGACGAAAACAACAGCCAAATATCGTCACTATACTTTCTCAATCAGCAGGGTGTTTATCCACCCGTAGCCCAAATGCGCACACTGCACATTGACGTACCGTATGGCTTGCGTGCATTTTAGTTTCCGCTAAGGTATAAAATGGCATAAGGGGCCAAAGTGTTCCTAAATGACAAGGCTAGATGCAGGAAATGCAAGCAGAGCCTCTCACTCACCCCTCTCTTGGGAGTTGCTCCCTGCTGCTGTCGCTATATCCCATTGGGACCCACCACACTAACTATTGCCACACAACGACCGCGCGCCCCTGCGGCGTTTAAAAGCCCCAGCGGAGACCACTCAGTTGCAAGACCTTGGCGGGGAACAAAGCGTTGGTGAACCCCAGCGGCGGCCGTCTTCAAATGGACTGGTAGTGAGGAAACCGTAACACAATAACCTCATCATCTGTCCATTTCTCGGCGGTAGGTAAACTCGTTTAACCGGTCAAATCATTTGACACCCAAACCCACCATTTCATTGAGGGATGCCTATTGCGTACGTCTACGTAGGGGAGAGTGGGGAAAGATGCCCAGGGTTTTGCTATGTCATATATTATTCGAAATTGACGATCGGAAAGCAAAAACTTGGACTTTCACCGGAAGCCGACATCATTTTTCTCCAAAAATATCACACTTTCGTTCCTGAAATATGATAAATTTTTTTGCTATTAAAGGGACCATCCCACCTTAACATTAGATTTGAGTTGAGATAGCCAAAATGGGGTCCCTGGCTCACAATTACCGGTTTCGGCACTCACAACATCGAGAAATGCCTTAAATCGGAAATATTGAATTTCAAAATTGCAGCATTTTGATTCAGAGGGGTTAATGCTTAGGAATACCCCTCTGAATGTGTGACGTCAGCGCAGATATCTAACGATTTTTAAATGTTTGACTAAAACGTTTTGTAGCACGCGGTGGTATATGCTATTTGCGCGCAACATCTGCCGCAAACGCCGCACTTCTAAAATAAAGTCGCTAGAAACAGCGGAGATCCCAAAAAAGTAAACAAAAGTAAAAGTCTAATATCTTGAAAACCGGTGAATATTTTTCGGTGAAATTTGGTAGATATTCGTTTTCGCTCTTTCTGAACCGAGCGACATCACTTTCATGCCAATTCATAAACTTTTTTGAAGGTGGGAGGGTCCCTTTAAGCATTTTCCTGAAGAAGTGAAAGGGGGCATCTTACCCCACGGGGTGGAAAAGACGCCCCCTGGCGTTGGGGAAGATGCCCCCCTGCACTATAAGTGACACAAATGGGCACGTGAATCACCTGAACGAATCAGTAGTCCCTTCGAGCCTGCAGTAGACACCAAACGTCATCGTAAGGGCCTTCAGAAGTAGTCGTAAGGGGCTTCAGAGGTCATCGTTAGGGCCATCATAGTCCAGCGCGGCCAAACAAGCCTCCGTGGTGGCGTTTGGAGACCACTGTGGGGCCCTTATAGGTCTTCATGATGCTTGAGGGCCCTCGAGCCCATCGTGGGGACCTCAGATGCCAGCACGGCCCGTGGAGCCAACGTGGGAGCCCTCAAATGATGTTGTGAGGGGCCCTGGAGCCAATAATGGGGCCCACAGAGGCCGTCGTGAGGGCTCTCAGAGTCAGATGCCGCCCAACAAGTCGCTGTGTGGGTCGTGAGACCGGCATGGGGAGCACCCGACCGTACTGGACTCTCAATAGTCCCAGATCGGCTTTTGTCTCTCATCACAAGTAGGTATGTAATAAATGATTTGACGGGCTGCTTGAAGGACAGCCTACGGATTTAGGGGGGGGGGGCGTCTTTCCCCATCACGACAGGGGGCATCTTACCCCAAGGTACCGAAGTAACATTAAATCAGTACAATTTGTTAGCCCTAAAACTACACCCTGAAACAAACTGTTAGGGACACAGTACACGCATGTTAATGTATCACGACTATAGCAAGGGACGCAAAAATTATCTATCTTCTTTGATATTTACAATGTTTTGACACCAAAATATTTTTTGAAAGCAGCAAATAAAAAACATGCAATCACCCGCTAGCCGTTGCCCAACTGAGCTTCGCAAATTTTTGTGCAGTTAACCCGCGCCCCGCTGGGCTATTCAGCCATACGCGCCCTGCTGGGGGGGGGGGGGGGCAGATTCTGCCCCCCCCCCTGTTTAACTTCCGAACCGATGGTCGTAGAAAGACGCGGAAAACGGCAATCGAAAGCTCTCAACAAGGCGAATCTTAAGAGCCCAAATTTTTTTGCTTAAATAGGTCAGAGGTCAGGTCAAGGTCAGGTCAAGGGTACAATATGCAAGTTTCTACAGTATCGGCCTTGCACCGTAGTTGCCGAAGAATGGACTGAGACTGATTGCCCAAAACGTGCTCTTAGACTACCAAGACAATATTCGTTGCACACAATGTCATTCAAAGGTCAAGGTCAAGGTCAGGTCAGGTCAGGTCAGGTCACCAAAAACAAAATATAGAAAAGGGCATGTGCGACACATGTTTTATCGGTCATTTTACTCATGGAATTCAATAGGCACACTCAATAAGTGATATGGACCACCTCTGGATGAATTTCAGGTCGAGGTCAGGTCAAGGTCAGGTCAAGTGAGGTCAAATTTTGAAGTTGGTTGTTAAGGCCTAAAAAGGTGTCTATCCGATGCAGTTTTTCACGGCGAATCGAATGGTGCTATTTTTGTTTCCGTACGAGGTCTAGAACTTCCAAAAAAAAATCATTTTTCAAAATTTTTGTGCGTCGTGACGTCATAAAATTTTGAATAACTCCCACATTTTTGAACCGATTCTTCTAAAAATTGGTATGTAGGTGCACATAGACCACTTCTTTGACATATATTCCGGTTTTTTATAAACTCAAAATTTTGGATTTTATAAATATTTTCCCAAAAAGTCAGTTTTTTGGAAAAATGTTGGCCAAAATCCAAAATTTTCAAAAAACCGAGATAGCCATTTGATAGACAAAGTAGAATCACGTATAACCTTTTTTGTTACGTCTTGATTCCTTTAAACATGAAGATGTTAGCGGCGTTTGAAATTTTGCCGTTTTTGAGGCGAAAATGGCGAACATGACGTCACTAAAACGTCAATTTCTCAAAAAGTTTCCGACAGATTTCGCTCCAATTTTCAGGGAACGTGTCAAATTGATGTATGATAAGGTACTGAAAGTTTGACGTCGCTGGCATAACGCGTTTAGAAGTTATTGGCGAAAAACGGGAGGGGGGGCAGATTCTGCCCCCCCCCCAGCGGGGCGCGGGTTAATAAGGCAGGCTTCCGCTTTACGCTAAGAACATTAATTTCCAGGTTCGATTCTTTGTTTCGCCGCAAGAGGGGGTGGGGCGTCTTTCCCACCCTGGGCATCTTACCCCACTCTCCCCTATACTTGTGTCATGTACCAGAAACAATGACACGATTGGGTACTTTACATGTTTTACTTTTTGGCAGATCTCCAGTTGTGACAGTGGCCAGCTGTGCTATCAACATTGCTAGTTTACGAGTACTTGCATGAACGGAAATAGGGACGTGCATGATGCCTTCCACTGGTTCTGTTGTGCCGGGCGTGTTGCGGGCATTGTCAAAGAACCATC